CGTATCATGCATGCGTCCAGTCAACTTGGCCTCTTCTAGATATAGAATAAACTTGCTTACTTAGACCTGCTTTCTGAATTAGCTAAACTTTTTCCAGCCCAGTGAAGCACCCCAACTTCTCTTTCAGGTAATTGTTAGCAACACAGCAGTAAGTATCAACACCAAGCAGATCATTATTGTAGATGACACAGGGAGAACCAAGGGTGAAATATTAACTGCAGCAGTGTTTGACTATATTCTGCGCAGTGAGAAAGCCTGAAGTCATTTTCATGACATACCATTTCTTCCTTCCTTTCAGTCGGGTCAGGTCTCTAGGCTTTCTAAACCTCCGTTTTCTGGCGAATGGAAAGAAAATGGGATTCCACCGAGTCTCCCTCTACCCACTCCAGGACTTCCGTGCGGATGGAATGAGATGAGGCACGGGAAAACATTTCACAGACATTTGGGTACAGTGTGAAATGTTTCCACCTGGCTATAAAGCAAGTCATGTTCCTGGACTGAAGAAACCGCAAGGAGGCTCATAACTAGGGAGAGGAAGCTGGGTGTTGCTATGTGATGTCATTAGATTGGACACTTAGCATATTAGCCTTTTATATATAGAGAGGCCCGATCCCTCAGCCTGGTCTGCCCCCTCTCACAGTCCAGGAGCCCTCTGGGGTGGGAGGCGACCCAGCAATTGGGAAGGCAATGCCCCCATCACATCTCTGTTGCTGCCACTGCTGGCAGCACAAGCTGTAGCCGGCCCTGGTTACCTGAGCCTCGGGCAGCCCTGGGCAGCTGGGCAGCTGCCATCCGAGGCTTGCCTGCACCTCAGGCATCAGCTGTGCCTCAGGTGTTGCCTGGGCAGCTGCCATCTGAGGCTTAGCTGCCATCTTGTGGCCGCCATCTTTGAGGGCATGGCAGTCAATTAGCATATTCCCTCCTTATTGGCTGTGGGTGCCACCATCTTTGTGAGGGCATGACAGTCAGCACATTCCCTCTTTATAAGATAGGTTAATGTTCCATTATATATGTGTATTTTATTTTTTAAACCCATTCATCAGTTGGTAGACTTGTTTTTCTCCCACTTTTGGGTTATTATGAATAAAACTGCTATGAATATCTGTTACAGGATTTTTCATGTATATCTATTTTCATTTCTTTTGGCTCAGTATGGTAATTCCATATTTAACTTTTTGACAAACTGCCAGACTCTTTTTTCAAAGTGGCTGTACCATTCTACATTCTCACCAGTAATTTATGAGGATTCCAATTTCTCCACACCCTTGTCAACACATGTTATTATAGCTATTCTAGTAGGTATGAAGTGGTATCTCACTTTGAATTTTATTTTCCTGATGACTAGTGATGTTGAACATCTTTTCCTGTGCTTATTGCCCATCTATATATCTACTTTGGAAAAGTACATATTCAGAGACTTTACCATTCTTTAAATTATTTACCAATATTTTTAATAGACATAAGTTTATCGACATAGCTATTTCTCTTTATGTGAGTTTTAATAATTTGTGTTTTTAAGGAATAGTTTGTTTAATCTAGGTCAGTGATTTTTGAACCAGTGTGCTGCAAGAATTTTCAAAACATACAATGCCTAACTAGTCAGGGGCATTGACCTCTTTTCCCTTAAATTGTCAAGTTTAAAAAATGACAACAGCCAACACAATAGCTGTCCAGTGTGAATGAATCAAAATTATATCTATTTTTTGTCATATCTGCAAAAATTATATATTTATATATTTTAAAAATATATATTTTTAAAAAATATATTTTTTGGTGTGCCGCAGAATTTTAGTAATTAGTTTGTGTATGCCATGAGATGAAAAAGATTGAAAATTGCTGACCTAGGTAATCGAATTTGTGGGCATAGTTTTTCATGGTATTCCTTATCCTTTTCATTGTCTAAGGGATCTGTAATGATGACCCTTCTTATATTTTCTTTTATTAAAAACTAGAGGCCCAATTCACAAAGTTTCATGCTCTCGGGGTGGTCCCTGCACCCTCTCACAGTCCGGGACCGCTTGCTCCTTACTGCCCGCCTGCAGCGAAGGCGGGAGGCACCGCTAAGGAGCAGCAAGAGCCTGGCTTCTGGCTGAGGGTGCTTCCCTGTGGGAGCAGCTTCCGCATTGAGCGTCTTCTCCTGGTGGTCAGTGTGGATCACAGCGGCCAGTCGTTCTGCCATTCGGTCAGTTTGCATATTGGGGTTTTATTATATAGGATTTTGGTAAAATGACATAAATTTACCATCCGTATTCTTTAAAGATTTTCCTCTCTTTTCTGAAGTTTGGATATGATATATGTAGATGTAACTATTTATCCTGCTTAGGGTTTCCTGAATTTTCCAGATTTGTGGTTTGGTGTTACTACTTTTGGAAAATTCTCAGCGTTTTTTTTTTGTTTTTTTTTGTTTTGTTTTTTTCACTTGAAGTATCAAAATTTTTGTTTTATTTTAATATATTTTTATTGATTTCAGAGAGAGAAAGAGAGAAAGATAGAAACATCAATGATGAGAGATAATCATTGATTGGCCGCCTCCTGCATGCCCCCTACTGGAGGTCAAACATGTGCCCTTGACTAGAATTGAACCCAGGATCCTTCAGTCCACAGGCCACAGTGCTCTATCCACTGAGCCAAACTGGCTAGGGCTGAAGTGTCAATTTTATTTATCAGAATCCTCTGTTTGGCAGCTCATGGCATTGTTGCACATGTCCCTATGGGAACATTAGAAGTGCTCACAATAGGATTCTTTCCCTGATCAAAATTCCACTCAAATGAAAAGTAAATGGTCTTTTCCAACCAGAAATAACTGCAACTGTTGTTATTTAGATGTACAACATCTTTTACAGTTTGTTTATGAATTGTATATAAAGCAATGTATATTGCTTTGGAAAACAGAGAAGCTTTGTTTTGGCAGTTGACTGTCAGTGTACTTGAGGTAGTTGTTTATGGGACCTTTATTGGAAATCTGAACGTCTGACTGACTTGGCAATGGGTTTGTTTGATTCTCTATCAATCATTGTCCTCCTAATCCCTCAGAATCTTTACACAACTTAGTTTCCTATCGTGTTCTATTAAGATCAGCTATAGTTCAGAGGAGTACATATGGTATTTCATTTATATACTCCCGAAATAGCATGTCTGAGTTAATTAGTTATGATTCTGGGCATTGTTCTGGATTCATTTATTTTCTTGGGAAAAGAGAAGGAATGCATGTTTTTCCATTCTTTTCTCACTACTGATGAGTTTGGACACTGGACCAAAGTCATTTAAAGTCACCTTGGTTTTTATATCTGAAGAGAACAATTCAGTGTTGTACAGTCACATCACTAATGAGTGAAGTTTTTATTCTATTATAAGATCCATTGTCTGAAGAGAAGATAATTAAATTACCATTGGCTCCATATCATTTTATCTTTTGTCACATTTTTTCTGTTCTCTATCATTTAATTTACAATAATAGTTTTTATTTCCTTGTGCTTGGTTTGTGTTTGGTTCACTCCTTTTCTTTTTTTACTTTCTTTTGGAGGAAGTTTGAATAAGTGATTTGAGATCACCTCTTTTAAAAATATAAATGTTTACAGCTATAAATTTGTAAATACTGTTTTTGCTAAGTTTCATAAAGTCATAGTGTGTGTTTTTTGTTTTCTTTTCAAGGAAAGGAAAGGTGGTTTTCCCATTGTTTTTGGATTTGCATTGATTTGAGCTTTAGAATGATATTAAATTCCTAATATTCTATCATTTTTTTCCCTACAAAATGGTAATTTCCTATGGTTTATCCTAATACAAGTTACTCTCACAAACATTACCTCCCATTACTCCACTATTATCTTATTTTTACAGTTAAAACATGCTCAGGAAGGATAATGGTACTTGTCTAGGTATTAGGACCTGCAGATAAATATCAGGATAGAGTTGTGACTAAGACATTATTGAAGACTTGCATGTCCTATAATAACAGTTACCAAGAGCTTTTACCTGATTGAGGGACAGGTGCACATGAAAATAATTCACATCTGGCCCCTGATAGTGGTTTGTCCCACTAGTGTTGGTGGAAATGTGCCATAATTGATTAATGTACATATCATTAAACTAGTGCCTGGCATTCTTTGGGAGAGAGAGAAGGTATGCACGACAAACAGCAGCTTGATACCTACTCTAAAGGAGTTTGTGATTTACAGGAGGAGAACACATGAACTGTTAATTCTGATACAGTAGGATAAATGTTCGATAGGGCCCAGCAGGAGGGCACCTACTCTTTAGAAGAGAGGCAGAGGCCAATCTAGGAAATTTTCTGGCTGTTTGGTTTGCATTTTGAAGATGGAGAAGAAGCTTCCAGGTAGGAAAGACAAGGAGAGGACAGTTTAGGGGAAAAACCTGTGCAGAGGGCCAAAGAGAAAGAACATGTGTACTTGGACTCTAGAGTGTGCATTGGGAAAGAGATGAGGCTAGAAGGGAAAGTAGGTGGTGGAATATGAAGGGTGTTCTGTCACAAGGTGAGAGTTAACTTTTAACTTATAGCCTACTGAGGAGCTTTTGAAGGTTTCTAGAAAGAAGTCTTTGAATTATATGTCAGGGTGTGTGTGTGTGTGTGTGTGTGTGTGTGGAGGGGGATGTTGGGGAGACAGTTGCTCTTCTTTGCCCTGTATGCTAATGCGGTTGTCCCTTAGTATCTACTATCGGGGATTGGTTCCAGGATCTCTGCAGATAACAAGCAGATTCTCAAGTCCCTTTTATAAAATGTCAGAGGAGCAGTGCATAAAGTACCCCCTCCACATCTGTGGACTCCCAGCCACAGTTTGAAAATACGATACTATTTTCAATCCCAGGATGATTGAATCTGGGATGCAAAACCTGGGTATACAGAGGGCCGACGGTCTATTTACTGAAAAAATTCACATATTATATACTGTAGGTGGACCCAGCAGTCCAAACCCATGTTGTTTAAGGTCAGCTGTAGTTCTTTCCTTACCAGTAAAATGTTTCTCTTTTTTTTTGACTCACAGTTCACTGAGACGTTTTTGACGGAGAGGGACAAACAATCCAAATGGAGTGGAATTCCTCAGCTGCTCCTTAAGCTGTATGCAACCAGCCACCTCCACAGTGACTTCGTTGAGTGTCAAAACATCCTCAAGGTAATTCTTTTGGGCCTTGAAGGGGCTGCATTCAGGGCATCCAAGTGATACAAGATGTCTGCTTTTAAAAAAAAAAAAAAAAAATCTCTCATAAAAAAAATAAAATAAAAAAATAAAAATAAAAAATAAATAAATTTTAAAAAAACCTCTCAGTCTACTTTTAAAATTTTTCTGTTTTTATTACGTAAGCTGTAGAAAATTTGGGAAGTTCAGAAAAAGTGCAAAGAAGAAAATAAAGCCCCCAACACCAAAGGATAATCACCAGTGAGTTCCCTGTGGATGTCCTCTGGACTCGGGGTCAGTGCTTGCTTACTTCGGGAGGCCAGCACTGTGCCTGGAATCGAGATGGCATTCTTTTTGAATAGGGTTTAAAAGATCACACGTTTCATGGAAGTGACCTTGTGGTTATTGACAATTATCCTATATAATAAAAGCCTAATATGCTAAGTGTCTGGTTGTCCAGTTTAATCAATTAAAGAGTAATATGCTAATGATATGCTAAGGCCATTCAATCTCTCGCTTTGATGTGCACTAACCACCAGGAGGCAGACAGTTGACCTGTCAACCAGTCACTATGTACATGCACTGACCACCAGAGGGCAGATGCTCTGACCAATAGGTTAGCTTGCTGCTGGGGTCTGGCCTATTGGAGCTGAGTCCTTGACTGGCCTACTTCCTGTGTCCCTCCTAGCCCTGATCATGCACTGGTGGGGTCCCTCAGCCTGCCTGCACCCTCAAGTGTGGACCCCTCAAGATGTTGGAAAGCCAGTTTCAGCTCAATCCCACAGGCCAGGCCAAAGGATCCCACTAGTGCACAAATTTGTGCACTGGGCCTCTAGTGACTAACCTAAGAAGATTGAAGGGCTGGGCTTGGTGGTTGGGAGAGAGATGGAAAGAATGCAGAGAGCTATGGTAAGGCCAGTCTCAAACTTAAGTAAAAGTATGTGTTAGAATCACCTGGAAGGCTTGTTAAAACAGAGTGGTGCACCCAATTCTCTGGGTGTCTGATTTAGAGGTCTGGGGTTACTATATCTAAACTTTAGCTTGGGGGGATGGGGAGGGAGGTTCCGAATTTGAATTTAGAGCACCAGCTTTAGCTGCAGTTAAAACCCATGCAAATTATATTTGGTCATAATGACACTTAATGATACATTGTTCTTTAGAGGTGAAGTTTTGATTATTATATAAGTCACTCTAAAATATAACAGGCTCCAGAATAAGCTTAATCTTTACCTTTAAGAAGTTTTGAGCTGAATCCACTGTGAAAATCAAGACCATTCTGAGCAATCATAGTCGATATTTCAGAAAATGTGGACATTGCTCTGAAGGGACACAATTATTGTGAAGGACCCCAGAGGCACCCTGCTAAGGGACTTCAGTCACATTGATGTAGAACTCAAATCTCCTTGGAAAGAAAAAGAAGAGGCTACAGGTTGATAGGGGGTGGGAAATAGAAAGAAACTGGTTACCATTTGTACCATCTGCAGTCATGTACCAGGACATGATCATGGGGGTTACACTGGGCTTCCCTTACACGATGAAGGCTGTGTGTGTGCTCACTTCCTCATCAATGTTGCTATTCAGGAGAATGGTTCTCTTGTTGAAATAGAAATTTCTTGGGCGAGAAATACATCCACAGGGTTCAGATGAGGTCAGGTGTTGCTTGTTTAATATTTCAAGCCCAGAAAGATGAGTTAATTCTTAAAGGAAATGACCTTGAACTTGTATCAAATTCAGCTGCTTTGATTCAGCAAGCCAAAACAGTTAAGAAACAGGATATCGGGGAAAATTTGGATGGTATCTATGTTTCTGAAAAAAAGAACAGCAGCAGGCTGATGAATAAGACCTAAGTTTTTCAGCTACAGAAACAAAATGCTGGACGGTTCCTTACGCTTATGTAAGGCATTTTAAAGATGAGTAAAGTCATGGATTAATCTGAGGGGGAATAACATAAATGTTTTGTATTTTTGATCTTATAGTCTGACTAGGGTAGAAATAATTATAGTCTTTTACACTTGTTTAAAAACTTTGTAAAGAGTTACATATTAATTTCATTTGATTCCTGCAAAATTTGAAATATGAAGGAGGAGGAAAAAGAAGTAGAATGAGGGAAATTAATAGTGAGTGCTTGCTGTGTGATCATTTCTTTATTCACCCAGCAAAAGCTTATTTGAAATTTACTGTGTACCAAGGCAAATTTAATTTTTATGGTATCTTTATGAGATGGGTGGTGTTTTCTTTGTATTGGTCTAGAATATTTTGATTGCAGGTGACAGTAACTCAGACTAGGAGAAAAAAAAGATCCTTTATTGTCTTACATAATTGACAAGCACAGGTGTGAATTCAGGAGCTTAACAGTTAGGCTGTCCATTTCTTCTTTTATAATTATTTTTTTAAATATTACGTATGTCCCCTTTTTCCCCCCATTGGCCCCCTCCATACTACCCTCACCCCCACCTCAGGGCCTCACCCCCCTCATTGTGTCCATGGAGGCTGTACATTTCTTGTCTTGACATCTGTGTGTGATCTCAAGTTCTTCCGTGTAATCATAAGTCTTGGGTGACATTTCTATAACGTGTGTTAGCCACTCAGTGAGGGGAGTGAGATTATTTGGCGAGGGGCTGGGACTGAGTTGCTTGTTGACAACCTTAGCAGAACTCTGTGGAAAAGGGGGAGGGGCGTTTCCTCTAAGGAAGTGCAGTTGTTACCCGGAGAAGAGAGAAAGCTGCTGAATAGACAAAATCAGCTGTTTTTTATATTCTCTTTTAAAATTGAGGGGGAAAAAACAAGACTCAACAATAACCTGCCCAAAAGCTTGTGGCTACTCTATGTTGTGCCCAGATTTATCTTATCCAAAGACCAGCTTCCACTGTACTAGGTTGCCAGCAGGAAATACTTCCTCGTTTTATGGATGAGAAAAATAAGATCCAGAAAAAGTGGTTCAGTCACTTACTAATTATGTGACCCTAGGCAACTTTGTGATACTGTTCTTTTTACATATAAAATGAGCAAACGTATGCTTATTGAGTTATTTTAAGGGTTAAATGAACTAAAGTGTAAAAGCGCAGTGCCTGGCATATAGCAGTGATCTGTAAGAGTCCTGCTTTTTCTTGATGTATGGTGTCTGGGCCAGCAGCATCAGCATCCTGGGAACTTGTTACAAATGCACATTCTCAGGCCCCCCTCAGACCCATTACAACTCTGCAGGTAGGACCAGTAGTCTGAATTTTAAGAAGCCCTTCTGATGATTCTGATGCTCACCAGTGTGTGAGCATACAGTGTGTGCTCTTGCCTATTGTGTTCCATTTTCCCTCACAGGTTCCTGCAGGGAGAATATGAGTAGGTCCTGGATTCTTCCTACTCTTTCACCCAAAATAGTTATGCTTTACAAGCACAGACTCTGGAACCAGATTTCCTACACTTAAATCCTGGCTCTACCACCGTGTGACATTGACAACTTCTTCGTGTCTTAGCTTCCTTACCTGTAAAATTTTGGGATAAGTTACTATTATTATCTTATATAGGGTTGTGAGGATTAAAAGAGGTAATGCATGAAGGGCTTAGACTTAAGCACTAAATTAATTAGCTATTACTACTATTACAACTTCCGTTCTATCAACTTTTCTGTAAGATTATTATTTTTTTTCCTATTACCTCGTTCCAAATGAACAAAGGATTCTTTGGCCCTTCCAAATTTGAGAACCTCTACACTGTATTGACTGTATTGAATACCTGCTAGGGAGAATACAAAGAGGAATCTGTCTTATCTTCGAGGAGTATTTAATCTAGGGAAGGGTGATATATGTTTGTAAAGAGGTATGAAGTAAAAGTGCTAAGTGCCACAATGAATTACAGATTTCTTTGGGGCTTCAGAGATGCATCAGAATGCTCCTGCTGAAGGGAGTCAGAAGACTTCCTGGAAGAGGTGACACTTAGCCATGTTTTGGTTATATATTGCTGCAGAACCAGCTACCCTAAAACTTAGTAGCTTGAGATAATAATCACTATTTATCTGTAACATTTTTTTTCGGGTAAGGAAACTTACCCAAGAAACCACTTATTCAAATACATATAATTTTTACTTGTTTGGAGGTGTTGATATAAGTAGTTGTTTATTATTTCTACTACTATTACTACTGCATAATGGTTTGGTTGAGTGGTTCTTTTGCTTCATGTGGTGTTGGGTTGGGTATTGAATCATCTGAAAGGTCCAGAGTGGCTTCACTCACATAGCTGGTAGGTTGGTGCTGTCAGTTGGAGATCAGCTAAGGATATCAGTCCTTAGCCTCAGTTCTCCTCCTCATGGCCCCTGTAGGTGCCCATGTTAGACTTCTCACAGCATGATAATTGGGTTCCAAGATAGCAAAAGCCAACTTTGCCAGCCTTTCTTAATAATTAGGCCAGAATTGCCTAGTGTCACTTCTGCCACATTCTGTTTGTTGAAGGAGTCATACCAGCCCAGATTCAGTGTGGGAGAGGATTCTGCAGGGGATCTGAAAATGAGGAAGTGTAGTTCATTGGGGGCTATCTCATGGGGATTTAAGTTGGGATTAAAATGCAAACTGATGCTTTGGTGTCTGATTGTGTTCGATACAAAAACTGAATGTCTCTCTGCATGCTTTCTTTAAACTAGGACATTTCTCCTCTTCTCTCCATGGAGGCTATGGCATTCGTTACTGAAGAGAGGAAGCTAACCCAAGAAACCACTTACCCAAATACATATATTTTTGACTTGTTTGGAGGTGTTGATGTAAGTAGTCGTTTATTATTTCTACTACGATTACTACTGCTTAATGGTTTGAGAAGTTAACTCTTAAAATGAAGTCAGGAAACATTTCAGAATATATAGCAATCATTTGAGAATTTTAATCTTTAAAAGCTCATTAGCACTCACCTGTTTGGAAGCAGCATAACTTTTATTTTAGAATAATTTATTTATTTGAATTGATAATGTAGCCACCTTGTTGTTTGTTTTTTTGAAAGCACTAAGTTAAAGTGTACTTCCCCATCCCCAGTACCCTCTCTTCAGAGGCAGCTGATTCCCAATGTCTTCTCTGTCCTTCCAGACATGTTTTGTGTGTGTGTGTAAATAGCCCCACTTCCCCCACCTTGTTTATTTTCTTCCCCTGTACAGGTGACATGTGATATATACAGGTGTTTGCTTTGTATCTTGCTTTTTCCATGTCATTCTTGAGGTAGGGGATAGTTTCATTTGAGTACATGTAAACCTGCCTCATTATTTTAAACAGCTTAGTATTCCCTGGTGTAATTGTACCATAATTTATTTATCAAGGCCTCAATTGATAGGCATTTAGAGTTTTCTCACACCTTTCCTATTACAAATAAGATTGAAGTAAAGGTTTTTCTACATACTTCTGTGTACATGTGAATATATACCTTTGGGATCAAAGCATCTGTGTCTTTATTTTTATTTTTGAATAAATCTTTATTCAGGTTATTATAGTTCCTCTTTTTTCTCCCCCCCCTTCCCCCCCCCCCCCCCCCCGGTTGCCACTCCACCCCATGCCCTTACCGCCCCCCCCACTGTCCTTGTCCATAGGTAAGATTTTTGTCGTCTCTTTTCTCACACCCCACACACCATTCCCCCGAGAACTGTCAGTCCACTCCCTTTCTATGTCCCTGATTCTATTATATTCACCAGTTTATTCTGTTCATCAAGTTTTTTTATTCACTTGATTTTTAGATTCACTTGTTGATAGATATGTATTTGTTTTCACTTTGTATCTATCCGGGGTCTTTTTTAATTCCAGATGGATTTTTGGAGAGTTCTTTCTAGCTCTGTGAAATATGCCATTGGTATTTTAATGAGGAGTGCATTGAATCTATAGATTGCTTTGGGTAGTATGGACATTTTAATGATGTTGATTCTACCAATTCCATCTGTTTACATCTTCCTCTATCTCTTTTTTTAGTGTCCTATAGTTCTCCATGTATAAGTCTTTTACCTCCTTAGTTAGTTTATTCCTAGGTATCTTAATTTTTTTGGTGCAGTGTTAAATGAGATTGCTTTTTTAGTCTTTCTTTCTGTAAGTTCACTGTTGGTGTATAGAAATGCCATAGATTTCTTGGCATTAATTTTTTTTATCCTGCTACAATGCCGAATTCATTTATTAAATCTAATTTTTGATGGAGTCTTTAGGGTTTTTTATGTACAATATCATGTCATCTGCAAATAAGGACAATTTTACTTCTTCTTTTCCAATTTGGATGCCTTTTATTTCTTCTTCTTGTCTAATCTCAATGACTAATACTTCCAGTACTCTGTCGAACAGGAGTGGTGAGAATGGGCATCCTTGTCTTGTTCCTGTTCTTAGGGGAAATGGTTTTAGTTTTTGCCCATTGAGTGTGATGTTGGCTGTGGGTTTGTCATATATGGCTTTTATTATGTTGAGGTGTGATCCTTCTATTCCCACCTTGTTAAGAGCTTTTATAAAGAAAGGATGTTGGATTTTGTCAAATGCTTTTTCTGCATCAATTGATATGACTATGTGGTTTTTATCTCTCAATTTGTTTATATGATGTATCACGTTTATTGATTGCAGATATTGTACCATCCTTGCATCCCCATGATAAATCCTACTTGGTCATGGTTTATGATCTTTTTGATGTACTGCTGGATTCGATTTGCTAGAATTTTGTTGAGGATTTTGGCATCTATGTTCATGAGGGATATTGGCCTGTAATTCTCTTTCATTGAGTTGTCTTTATCTGGTTTTGGTATTAGGATGATGCTGGCTTCATAGAAGGAGTTCGGAAGTGTTCCTTCCTCTTGAATTTTTTGGGATTATCTGAGGAGGATAGGTTTTAGTTCTTCCTTGAATGTTTGGTAAAACTCCCATGCGAAGCTGTCTGGCCCCAGGCTATTGTTTGCTGGAAGTTTTTTGATGACTGCTTCAATTTCTTCCATAGTTATTGGCCTATTGAGATGTTTAGATTCTTAAATATATTTTATTGATTTTTTACAGAGAGGAAGAGAGAGGGATAGAGAGTTAGAGACATCAATGAGAGAGAGTCATCGATCAACTGCCTCTTGCACACCCCCTACTGGGGATGTGCCCACAACCAAGGTACATGCCCTTGACCGGAATGGAACCCGGGACCTTTCATTCCACAGGCCGATGCTCTATCCACTGAGCCAAACCGGTTTCGGCAAGATGTTTAGATTCTTCCTGATTGAGTTTTGGAAGGTTATATTTTTCTAGGAATATGTCCATTTCCTCCAGGTTGTCCAGTTTGTTGAAATAGTTGTTCATAGTATTTTTTAACAGTCCTTTGTATTTCTGTGGGGGTCTGTTGTTGTTTCTGCTCTTTTATTTCTGAATTTGTTTATTTGGGTCCTCTCTCTCTCTCTCTCTGCTTCTTGGTGAGCCTGGCTAGAGGTTTATCCAACAAAACCAGCTCTTGGTTTTGTTGATCTTTTGTATTGTTGTTTTTTTGTTTTGTTTTGTTTTGTTTTTGTGTGTGTGTGTGTGTGTGTGTGTGTGTTTTGTCTCTGTCATTTATCTTTGCTCTGATCTTTATTATTTCCTTCCTTCTGCTTACACTGGGCTTTTCTTGTTAATCTCTTTCTAACTCTTTGAGTTGTAGGGTTAGGTAATTTATTACCATGTTTCTTGTCTTTTTTTTTTTGCAGTAGACTTGTAGCGTTGTGAACTTCCCTCTCAAGACTGCTTTCACTGTGTCCTATAGATTTTGGATTGTTGTGTTTTCATTTTCATTTTTACCATGATGTTTTTTATTTCTTCTTTGATCTCTCTGGTAACCCAGTCTTTGTTTAATAGCATGTTATTTAGTCTCCATGTGTTTGATTTTTTTGGATTGTTTTTATTGTAGTTGATTTCCGGTTTTATGCCATTTTGATATGAGAAGATGCTTGATATGATTTCTATCTTCTTGAGTTTTAGGAGGCTTTGCCTGTGACCCACTATATGGTCTATCTTTGAAAATGACCCATGTGCACTTGAGAAGAATATATATTCTGTGTTTAGAGGATTTGTCCAGTGGTGAGAGTAGGGTATTAAAAGTCCCCTAAGTGAGCTTTTTCAATTTGTGTGAGTTTTTTCTTCCCTATATCAGGGAAGTTTTCTGCCATTATTTCTTCAAACAGGTTTTCTATTCCTAGCTCAGTTTCCTCTCCTTCTGGCATCCTTATTATGCGGCTGTTGTTTCGTTTTATGTTGTCCCAAAGTTCCCTTAGGCTCTCCTCCTGTTTTTTTTAAATTTTTTTTTTCTTCTAGATGCTGCTCTTCTTGGGTATTTTTTTTTTTTAAATATGTTTTATTGATTTCTTACAGAGAGGAATTGAGAGGGACAGAGAGTTAGAAACATCGATGAGAGAGAATCATCGACCAGCTGCCTCTTGCACACCCCCCACTGGGGATGTGCCCGCAACCAAGGTACATGCCCTTGACCGGAATCGAACCCGGGACCTTTCAGTCCGCAGGCTGACGCTCTATCCACTGAGCCAAACCCGTTTCGGCTCTTTTTGGGTATTTTTTCCTACTTTGTCTTCTAGCTCACTGATGTGGTCCTCTGCTTCTTATAGTCTACTGTTAATGCTTCCTATTGAGTTCTTATAGCAGCAATGTCATTTTTCATTTCTTCTTGGATCTTCTTCATTTCCTCTTGGTTCTTACACATATTATTGAATTTGTCTTCCATTCTTTTCAGTGACCTTATGACCATTTCTCTGAATTCTTTCTGTGACAGGTTGCTTGCCTCCATTTTATTTACTTTTCTGGTGATGCCTCCTTTTCTTTTATATGTGGGATGTTTCTCTATCTCCTCATGACCTCTCTTCTCTGGGTGTCTGGTTATGTAGTTCTCTGTCCTTTCCCTAGGCATAATCTGACCTTTCCTTGAGAAGGTGCAGAGCTCCTCTGAGTCGGTGTATTTGCCCTGCCTGAGACTCAGTGTTCCTGGGTTCACAGTTGGTCCCTGGGTGTTCTGTTTATAGTGTCCTAAGATCTATAGTCTTCCTATAACAGCCACTCTCCCCTTCCAGATGGTGCAGTCTCTGCAGTAGAGTCATCGCACCAGGAGAGATTTCAGCAGCAGTGTAGGTTGCCTGTTGAGGGGAGCCTGGATCAGCAATCCCCAATAGTCCCTTGGAGTGTAGCTGACCCTCACCCACAAATATCCACTCCCCATATGTCCACACACTCTCCTTTCATTCTCTCACTCACACACTATCTTGCAAGTCTGCTTTCCTGTCAGCAGCCATTTCCCCTTTCCCTGGCTTTTATATATATATATATATATATATATATATATATATATATATATATATATATATATATATATATTATTATTTTTTTACAGAAAGGAAGGGAGAGGGATAGAGAGCTAGAAACATTGATGAGAGAGACCCATCGACCAGCTGCCTCCTGCACACCCCCCACCGGGGATGTGCCCGCAACCAATGTACATGCCCTTGACCGGAATTGAACCTGGGACCTTTCAGTTCGCAGGCCGACACTCTATCCACTGAGCCAAACCGGTTTCGGCTACCTAGCTTTTTTTCTGTTTCCTCATATGGGAAGTGGGGAGGGATCTCTGAAGCCTCTTTTATAAGGTATAATCTCATTCATGAGGTCTCTGGGCTCATGACCTAATCACCCCAAAGGCCCCACCTCCTGATGCCATCACATTTCGGATTTAACATGGATTTCGGGTGGTTAGACACATTCAGATAGTATCAATTTGTAGCTACTCCTAATTTCTTAAGGCCCATTGACTTATGTGTTGTCGTCTTGTTCCCAGTTAGAGAATTAAATTTTGACTCTGTGGTACTTTAAAATGACAGAAGCTTTTTCTGGCAGTCGTGGCTCAGTGGTTAGCGTGTTGGCCTGTGCACAGAAAGGCGTCAGGTTCAGTTTCTGGCCAAGGGTACATACCTGGGTTGCAGGTTCATCCCTGGCCCCCAGTCGGGACACATGTGAGAGGTAACCACTCAGTGTCTCTCTCACATTGATATTTCTCTCTCTCACCCTCCCTCCCTTCCACTCTCTAAAAATCAATGGAGCCCTAGCCAGTTTTGCTGAGTGGATAGAGCATTGGCGTGTGGACCAAAGGGTTCCAGGTTTGATTTCAGGTTAAGGGCACATACATATCTAGGTTGCAGGCTCCTTCTCCAGCTGGGCCCTGATAAGGGCTTGTGCAGGAGGGAACCAATCTTATGTCTTTCTATAATAACAATGTTTCTCTCTGTCTTTCCCACTCTCTACCACTCTCCATAAAAATCAATGGGAAAATATCCTTGCGTGAGGATTAACAAAGAAAATAGAACATAAAATAAATAAATCAGTGGAAAAAGTATCGTCAGGTGAGGATTAATAATGATAACAAAAAAGTAGAAAGGTTTATTTTTAGTTATGGCTTCAGAATTTTAGTTCTTGCTTTTGTCACTGTTTCCTTCTAATATTTTAAAGTTTTTATCACACATGTTTAAATTTTTTGCATCATTCTAAATTTATTTTGCTGTAATGAGTGAGGGACTGGGATCCTACTTTTCTCCTAGATATCTGTCCGTACAGCCATCACTTGAATGGAGCATGAGGGAGGTTTTCATGTGGTTACTCTGTGTCTTGATCTGGGTTTTGATTGTATAGGAATGATATTCACTTGGTAAAAACTGGGGCTGTACCCTTAATATTTCTACTCTTTGCTGTAACATATTATACTTCAATTTTTAAAAAGTTTTATTTTGATTTTATTTCATTTATCTTTTAATTTAAATTCTTCTCCCCCCCAAAAAAAAAAAGTTTTCTTCCCTTAGAAATTTCATTTTCTACAAAAGTAAAGATTAAACGTTATATATGTCATTTACCATAAACTTTCCTCTTTAATTTCTGCTCAGCAGTCACTTTTCAGCAGTCCCATTGGGTCTATACTGTTTACTTACTAATCAGCTGAAGGGACCCCCCCCTTCACTTTTGAATCATTCATCAAGGATTTTACTTAATGGACACCAATGTGTTTATGAAGGAAAAAGAATAATGTGGTCTCTAGCCTCATGGCTACTTTTAGTGACAATGTGTCTTTCTGTAGCAGATGTCAGTCTCACCTTAGGACATCTTTGGATCAATGGTTCTTGATTTTATGGGGTTTTCCTCGTCTGCATTCTCCAGGAACCTCAGTTCATTCATAAATATGTGCTTTTTTGGGTCGTTTGCCCATTCACTGACCTTTAGTTGAGTGGTTTTTTCTTGCCAAATCCCGTTATTGGTTTATTGTGTTTAAGTGTTCTATTCTTTGTCTCAACAGAATGGGTTTGTTTTTTGTTTTTTAAATATATTTTATTGACTTTACACAGAGAGGAATTGAGAGGGATAGAGAGTTAGAAACATCAATGTGAGAGAAACATCGACCAGCTGCCTCTTGCACACTCCCCACTGGGGATGTGCCCGCAACCAAGGTACATGCCCTTGACCGGAATCGAACCTGGGACCTTTCAGTCCTCAGGCCGACGCTCTATCCACTGAGCCAAACTGGTTTCGGCCAGAATGGGTTTTTTAATGCACGCCTTTGTAGTATTTGTAGTTTAAGCAAAATTATGTGTAGTATTTAAAGTATGTAAAATGAAAAATGAACTCATATCATTCCTACCCCCTGTAGAAATAGTATTTACAGTTTATGGTGCATCCTGGAGATTATTTTTATGTTTATAAGAGAAAACAGATATTCTTTAAGCAAAAGAAGAATTGAGGTGATAACCTGTAGCTTTTTAAAAATTAAAGCCACATTGGATCTTATAGATTACCTAATCTAATATGCCTATTTTTTTAAATGAGAAAACAGAGTCCATGTCAGGGCATCGACCTGCCCACGTTTACATGGGGAATAGGTGGTTAAGCTGGGACTAAAACCCAAGCTTTCATTTCAGACTCCTGGTGTAGAGCTCATTTTCCTGAACCTCCCTGCCATTTGCCTCTGTTGGGAATAAGCGGCCCTTGTAATACTGTTATAGATATTTTGGCCATGAGTTAGCAGAGCAAAGATTGTTTTATAAGTTGTGCTTTGAATTAATTTTGAATATTTTACCTAAAAATATTTTTTTATAGCTCCTTGTAGAAATTCTTATGAGGCCTACAGTCTCTCTCCGGGGACAGAAACTGAAAAGTAAGTATGTTTGTCATACACTTCCCTTTTTCCAACCTGCTGACAGGACCGTGGTTTCCAGGAGTTTCTCTTCTTCTTTTTCTAACTCTTACTGGTGAGGACATGCCTTAGATCCAGCTGCAGGGTGCTCTCTCCAATCCTAACTAAGCAGCTGTATTTATTCATTTTATACTAGGTAGAAATACAGTCTGCTGCTTTAAAAGAAAAAGTGTGAAAACCACTGGCTAAAAGAATTACATCTATTATAATAGTCCTTGGGTCCAGTTTCTATGTTCTATTTGCTATTCTTACTTCTCATATACAGTAAGATGTGTGTGTTTTGTTTTAAACTATTTTGTTGTTGTTATAAAGGTGATATATGCTCTGTGTAAAAAGTTCAGTCATTACCAGAGTGCATATAGTAAAGAGTAAAAATGTTTCTGGTGGTGCATTATTTCTTAAATTCAGTAGTGGATATATGGGTATTATTCAGATTCTTCCTCATAATTTATGCATATTACAAATATTCTTTTGGGGTATTCAATATTTAATTTATAAAATGAATAAGTGTACTTTATTTTATAAAATGAATAAGTGTACTGCATTAAAAGACACAGATCACTTAATATTTCATGAATGCTCTTCCAGAAACATCACTTTTTTTTTTTTTTTTAATTAAAAAGTTTTTCCTCCCTAACATCAACTATGTAAGACCTCATTGGTAGGTATAGTGATAGTTAAGAGGATTCATATTCATCTTTGAATATCCATATTCAGATTTTCTTTCTATCTAAGTTGGTTCTTCTGTTCTCTCTATACTGGTCGGGGTATTCCAACCTGCTTTAAAGTCATAAAATAAAAAAGCCAACAAGCCTCAGTAGGTTGAAAGATAGTGAGTAATAAGGGATATAGGACACTTGCATTATCTCAGGATTATATCAGATAACCCACCTGGTCCAGCTAACTTGGCAGGACTGCCTATTGGGATCTCAGAAGGAGGCCCAGCATTTTTAGAGTTATTGTAGCAGCATAAGATTAAGTGGGAATAGTTTTTGAAAATAAAAATATGCCAAACAAAACACTTTGTCCATGATTCATATTCAGTTTTATCACCTCCTGGTTTGGTGGTCATGAAAATTTAGTTTTCCTTTTTGTGTTACTTTTTGTTCCTGCTGACAGAGAAGTAGCTAGTTCTTTATTAGGCTTGGTAAGTCAGGCATTAAAAAGCCATTTCCCTAATATAAATAACCAGATTTATAATAAGAGACATCTGTGTACTTATACTTTGGATTCTAGTAGTTCAGGTTTTGGAAATGTTTTTTGAGGAACCAATTCAACACAAGCATCAAAAAAAAGTTTAAATTGTTGTGGGTATTTTTTTGTCTATTTAAATAGCAAAAAAAAAACAACACCACAAAACAAAAACAAACTAAAACCAAAACCTTGGATATATTCTAAACATGCTACAAAGTGAATATGACTTATTTTAAATAATGATATCACCAAAGACTGAAATTATGAAGACTATGGAGCATAATGAAAATGGCTACTATATCAAACCAAAAGCAGTCTACAAATGATTTGTGGGTTCTGATGGGCACCATGAAAATCTTTGGTAAATAAAAACTGGAGGGAGATATGCTTATAGGAAAATAATCACCTTGGAGGAGATTATGAGAAATTGTTTCTATTTTTAAAAAATTTAATATACTCTTTTCAATGAGAAAAATAGCCAATTACTTTCCTTTTACTTTCAGTAAGTGATGAAATGTCCAAGGACTGTTTGAGCATCCTGTATAATACCTGTGTGTGTGTAAGTACCCTTACCTTTGGTGCTACATTTTCCTCCACCACATTTTCCTGCAGTCCTTGAGAAAGGATGATTCAAGGGAGGTGGTGGGCCTGAGAGCTGTCTTCAGATATTGAAGGAATTGGCCTTCTGTGTATCTGAGAACCAGAACCAGCTGTGGTTGAAATGATGGGGAGGCGGAGTTTCATAGTAGAGTTGACCTTAACACGGACTGCATAGGTTCAACTTCATATGACCCAGGCCGTTCAGATCTGTGTTGTTTCAAGACCCAACTATATTTTCAACCTGTAGTTGGGAATTTGTGGGTGCAGAATACTGACTATAATTACAGGTTTTTGACTGTATATAACTCCTGTGTTCTTTAATAGTCAACTGGAATTGTTAAGAGCCACGGTTACTACAGCAGGTACTGAACTCCTTTAATCCTGGAGGTATCCAAGCAGAGAATGAACAATTGCCATAGGGGTACAAGCATTGAAAGAGTGTCTATGATCTCTAAGATACCTTTTAATCTCCTTATGCCCATTCCTTCATTTTCCTTGTTACAAGACAAAATAAGAACCAGAAGCCTCACCCACAATTTAGCAGGACACTACTACATTGAGCAGTGAGTGAAAAAGAATGGTGAATAAAGAAAGCAATTTAGTAGACAGGAAAGCATAGCACTTAGTACTGGAACTTGATTTTGAGTTCTGGTCTTTGGCTTAGTGTTTATTAGTTCACCTCCTAAGCATTAGTTTCTTATTGGTAGAGTGCAGTTAGTAATCATACTAACATCATAGGGTTGTTGTGAAGACTGAATGAAACTATAGATGTGAAAGTACTTTGTAAAGCAGTATACAAATACAGTTTTTATAAGACAGTAGCTGTCTTTAGGAACTTCTTTGGTAAACTACAAACAGTGAATCATAATACATGGCAGGATGAAACAAGTGCTGTTGGAGATGTGAAACCCGTATGCGGTGAAAATGCAAAGAAAGCTTCATTTTATTTTTTGCCTCATTCAAAAAGACTTAAGGCATCTTCCAGCAGTATGTAAAATCTATCAAAATCATACATTTAGAAGTATGGATTTAGAAAAATGAAAAGGATAAAATAAGTTAAAGGTATAACATACATCTAAGAAATGGGCTAATATAAAAATGTAGAGCATAAAATCATCTATATTATGGATGGTGCAGCCAACACAAATAGGAGATATGTTTTAACATTTACTCAGCTCAGCATCTGTAACAGTGCTGTGCACTAGAAACACAATGGAAGCCACTTAAGTTCCTTTAAATTTCCTTATAGCAATTTTTTTAGTGAGAAAAAAAATAGGAATAAGTGAAGTTAATTTTAATAAGCTTAAATTTAAATATCAAGATTTTTTTTTGTAACGACCTTTCGAAGTTTTTTACGCTCAGCACATCTTAGTTCACAGTAGCCACATTTCAAGTGCTTAATAGCCACATGAAGCTAATGGCACAAATAGACACAGATGGAGCTATAAGATAAAAATAAACCAATTTTCAGGAGACATACAATTATTTTTGTATCTGAGGCCACTTAGAAATTGTCCTTATTAAAAAAAAATAATTAAAAAAAAAAAAAAGACTGTATAATGTCACTGACTCCATTGTTGATTGGCTTTTAGAGTCGGAAATACCAGTACTTCAGGGACTGGGCAGAAAAAAAGAAATGTTTGAAGTTGCTGGTTTTTGGAGTGGGGACTTGTACAAATTGTGAGAATCCTGGAGTAGGCATGTCCTGCCTGAAAAACATTTACATTCAAAATTTTAAAAGTACTGCTGGTCAAATAAAACTTGGACGACTATGTGCTAGGTTATAGCTCCTGATTTAGATACTAAGCAGATATTAGGTCACAAACCTATAAGATTATCATGAAAACACCCCTTCCCAGAAAAACGCATTTGCACACAGTGTTTTGTATATTGCTTTGGGGATTTAAGACCTAAGCCAAGAATTTCAGATGTAATGTGGGATTGTGTTTCCAGTGTCTGGAAGGGATATCTTGCTTTTTTATGTATATATTTTCATATTTATAACTTATCCTGCCTTTTCTCTCCTCCCTGTGATAGACGGAAGGAGTTACAAAGCGTTTGGCAGAAAAGAATGACTTTGTGATCTTCCTGTTTACACTGATGACGAGTAAGAAGACATTCTTACAAACAGCAACCCTCATTGAAGATATTTTGGGTGTTAAAAAGGTATGTCCTCCAACAGGTGGGTAACCAGGAGGGAGAGTATCTCAACTGATTGGACTCTGAAACCTGAATTAATGTACAGAATCCTTTTTAAAGAAAAATTCTTCCGTACTCCTAGTGTTAAATAATTTTTTGTGTTACTTAAATATATTCAAGAAAAGGTTAGGTTATATTTTTATACTAATAGGTCTTATATGACTATGAAACCTAAACAAATATACAAATTGAAATCAAAGTAATTATAAAACTCAAAAGTTCAGATTGACATAATGAATTTAATGTGATGGCTAATGTCACTTTGCCAAAATCAAATTGCCCCGCACTCACTAATTATTGTAATGCAAGATCTTTTTAGCATACCTACTGCTACCTGCTGTGTGACTTCATTCTCTTACCAATTTTCTATATTCGAACTGCTGTGAAACCTTCATTTATTAGGATATGTTTCCCTTGGTGATTTTTTACTTTCACTTTACTTGTTAAGTTTACCTGTGTTTTCCCCCCATTAGTTGTCAACAGTTAATGTTAATTGACACCAACACAGGAGACACAGGTAATGAGCTCTGAAGTGTGGCTGGCCACTTGGTCATAAGATGTACATTCAAGTGATCCAGAATGTGCTTTAAAAAAGAAAACTAACTGTGATTGAAAGGAAATCACTAAGTTAAAAACTTATCATTGCCCTAAAAACATATCCATAGACATCTGTAAGAGAACCGCTACATTAGCTTTTTGGTGTTAAGTTTCTTAGGACCTAAAACTTCCTTCCCTAGTATTTGCCCCGTACATCCATGGTGGTGGCAGTTTGGTAGAATTCTTTTACTGCTCTGGAGGAGGAGCAGCCCCTTAGCGCTGGCATTGCTGGGAAAAGGACACCCACATGCATTGTGTTGTCCCAGCTTCCATTTCTGCCTTTCGCTGTACTTTGCTCAGGTTGTTTGTTATCACCCGGGCGGAAGACGCATAAGTGACACATTGTCTGTAGGAACACACTGGAATTGTGTGCAGGTCCCAGACCGACCCTTTGTGTCCTTCGATAAAAAGGCTTTGTTGTTGTTCCATTAACTGTGTGCTCCAGCCAGCGTGGGAGAAGGGGCTTCCAGTGTTCCTGGCATTATCAGCATAGGAGTCTGGAATTGCTTTTCCTGTGTTGCCAAAATGTTGATGAGTTCTGCTAGATATTATGGGTATCTTGGAACATTTTGCAAGGGAGGCAGACACCATAAAGAAGGAACGCAAGCCACAAACTGGGAAAAGGTATTTGCAACCCATGCAACTGACAAAAGATTGGTAGTCAAAATTTATCAGGATTTCTTACAGATTGGCAAGAAAATGAAATAGTTCAGTAGAAAAATGGACAATGATATGAACAAGCATTTCACAGAAGAGAAACAAATGGTTCATAAATATAAGAAAAGATGCTTAACCTCATTGATATTTAGGGAAATATAAATCAGGCCCACAGTTAGAGGAAATAGAGCAAATTTAGTGAGAATGTATATCATTGACCACACTTCTTTAGTGATGATACTGTTTTATATCAGCAGAATATCTTTACCTTTCTTCTGTTTGCTACTTTAACAAGCATGTACCCTGTGACCCAACACCTCGGTATGCACTGCTGTGAGGGCCAGGACATCAGCACTGCAGCCCGAGTCTCAGGCCCGCTCGTGGGAAAGTTCATTCCCAGAACAGTGACACTTAGAAATGAAAACACTGAACTGAAGCCAAGAGGTTGTGCAGTCAATTCAGTGGGTCTGCCAGCTAAATAGAAAAGATTAAAGTGTATCATGTAAGGGTATTGTTTGAAGAAGTTTTTGTTTCTTATTTATACATGTATCTGTGCATTCACATATGTATGTTTACTGGATTATTATGGATATTTCTAATTATTGGGCATTGTAAGAATGGTTTGTAAGCCACTACCCCAGAAAACTCACACGTGCATCAAGAAACACAGAACAAAAGAGTGAAACCAAGTCTGTGATCTAGCTTCAGGAGAATGGGTAAATTAATGTACTCCATTCACACAGTGGAACCCAGGCATAGCTCTGAGGTAGTGCGGTTCAGTTCCAGACGTTGCAATAAAGCGAGAGTATCACAAAGTGAGTCGTCGTCTTTTTGTTGGTGGAAATTTTGCCTTCTATTTGCTAAAAATGCAACATCTGTGAAGTATAATAAAGCAAAGCTCACAAAAATTAGGTATGCTTGTGTTAGAAAGTGGTGGGGGAAATGAACTATTGCTAAAGCAACAGCACATTGAAATCATAGAAACTATTGCTAGAAGTTGCAGAAGAGTGATGTAGTATATCATTTTTATAAAGCTCAGAAATAACTAAACATAAGTCATACGATAAAACTGTCTTTAAAGGCAAAGTAGTAATGAAATTCAGGATAGTGGTCATTGCCTCTGGCGGAGAGGCATGGAGGTGGAGCAGCAAAGGCATGTGCAGCTATTCACTTGGTTTGGCTTTATACCATGTAAATAAAAATTAAAATACATTTGACTCTTGAACAATGCAGGTTTGAAGTAAGTGAGTCCTTTATACATAGATTTTTAATTAAATATTTTTTCTTTAAATCGTGTATTACATGAATTTTTTTCCTTTTGAGACATCTTTATATTCTTTATTTAATACCTGCTACTCTTCCTCCCACTAATTTACTTAACTTCTCATGGATTGGGTATTTCTCTGTCATAGAGAGTACTATTACCAGATAACAAAAAGCATTTTATAAAATTTAATACTCATTCATGATATAAGCTAGGGATAGAAGGAACATTCCTTAATATCTATTAAAACTTACAGCAAATATTAAACTTAATGTTAAACTTTGGAAATAATTTTACTAAAGTCAAGAAACAGGCAAGAATGCCTATCACTTTTTCTAGGTAATTGGTTACTTGTGCATACATAGGAGACACCTATAGGAATGTTCATTGTAACATAGTCTAATAGTGAAAAATTGTAGTTCACCTAAATGTTTATAGAAACAATAAGTTGTGAAGTAAAACAAGGAAGAACAAGTGAACTAGAGCTCATTGTATCTGTGAAGTTAAATCTCAGTGTTGACTGAAAAGTAAGGTGGTAGATGATGCCATTCACACTGTATGCAGAACAGTACCATATGTTTTTATGGAAATATTCATAAGTATAAAAATGTGGCAATAACAAATACAAAGTTCAAAATAATTATTACCTCTAGGGGTAATGCAAGTAGGGAATGCAAGTAGGTGGGAAAACACAGTCCTTCAGCTATATTTGCAAAATGTTATTTCTTTAAAAAAAACATCTGTAGCAAGAATGACAGTTTATGATTCATAAAACTTGAGTGATGGGTATTTCTGTTTGTTTGTTTGTTTGTTTGTTTGTTTGTTTGTTTGTTTAAAGAGGTAAAATGAGCCACATGAGCACAGGTAGAAAATAAGAACAGTGGTGTCCTAGGAGGTGGGTCAGTCCCATTTGACAAATGAGCAAACAGACTTAGAGAGGTTCTTTAACTTCGGATTGTGCAGCTGTAACTTGCAGAGCTGGGATTTGAATCTAAGAGGCCACATTCTTAGGGGAATGCACATCTAATTTCTAATGCTCTGAGCACAGGGATTGTTTTTTTGTGTGTCTTCTGTAGGAAATGATCCGGCTAGACGAAGTCCCCAATCTGAGTTCCTTGGTATCCAATTTCGATCAGCAGCAGCTTGCTAATTTCTGCCGGATTCTGGCTGTCACCATTTCAGAGATGGATACAGGGAATGATGACAAGCACACGCTTCTTGCCAAAAATGCTCAGCAGAAGAAGAGCTTGAGCTTGGGGCCTTCTGCAGCTGAAATCAACCAAGGTAAAGTCTAAACTCTCAGAAATCTAAGATCGTAGCTTAAGACACCTTTCTAAATCATCTACTTTTTCAGTATCTCTAGAGCTTAATCCATCTGAGGGTTCCTGGGATTCACTTAGAATGTGCAAAATTTGTGTGTATTTGTTCATTTTGGAGGGCTGAGTCTATAGTATTCATCAGATTTTTGAATGGATCAGAACCTCAAAAAAAGTTAAGAATCATTGTTTGTCAGAGTCACAAAAACATGGACCTTTTGATCCATTAAGTCCCTCTGGGCCTTTATTCTATAGGTTACGCACTCACACACACAAATGTATATACAAGGTTATTCATTGCAACATTTTTGTTTGTAATAACAAAAGACTAGAAATAATCTAAATGTTTTGTTCATCAACAAGAGACTGCCTAGTTGAAAGAACCTATATATATAATCTATCTATATAAAGAGGTAATATGCTAATTGGTCCTGACAGTGTCCCAGTCACAACTGTTCAACCGGCTGTGCACACACAGGAGCTGGTGGGCAAGGATAGGGGCAGGGACTTGCGCCACTGGGATAGGAGGCCTCTCCTCTGTACCCAGCCCCGGGTGGGAGGGGGGGTTGTCAACCTATGAACCAGGAGTAGGAAGTCTTTTTAAACAGAACTCCAATACCATATTATGCATTCCCAAATTAATAGTAATATCTTGATACTATAAAATATTAATTAGGTTTGAATTAGATGACACATTTGCCTGGTTCAAAAAATCTATAGATTCAAATGGTGTTCATTGAAAAGTTTCCTTCCCTCTATTCCCATTGGCCTAATTCTCGTTGCCTTCAACAACTGCTATTTTCTATCCTTCCTGGAAGATTTAATGCACACACAAGCAAACATGTATAGATATTAGCCTTATTTTAAAGAAGGTTAATAATGTTGACAAGATTTGAACCCATATTTCCCTACTTCCAAAGGTTATTATGTTCTCTTATGCTGATCAGGATTTCCATCTTACTCATACGAGTTGGATAATTATCCAGTTAGAGGAGTTGGGTTTAAAAAAAAAAAAAAAAAAAGGCTTATCTGATGAACAAAATAGATCCAGAGACATAGAAACATTGAATAGATCAGAGGAAAGGCAAGGGCGGGTGGGAGGAAGGAGTAAGGGTTCAACCAAAGGACTTGTATGCATGCATGTAAGCACAACCAATGGACACAGACACTAGGGGGATGAGGGCATGTCCTGGGGTGGGGATGGGGATGGAGATGGGGGTAGGGGAGTGGGAGCAGCTGGGGAGAGGTAAATGGGGGGAAAAAAGACATATGTAATACTTTCAACAATAAAGAATTTAAATTTTTTTTAAAAGGGCTTACTTTTTTTCTTTCTCCCTTTTTTCTTCTCTGTACTTGTTTATTATAGGAAAGTCAAACTATAGATAGTTTTAAAAGAAGCATTTTATGCTTTTCTACTCAGAAACAGCCATAGTAAATGCCTTAGAACATTTCTTTATGTACATATTTAAAGAAGTAAAGTTTCAAATTTTTTAAGAAAATATGACCAAGCCAATACTTAAGTAACATTAAGCAAATTTTTATAAGTATATTTAAATATCTTTTGGAGTCACTGTATAGAGAGGTATGTGTCATCATTTTTTTAAAATATATTTTAATGAATTTTTACAGAGAGGAAGAGAGAGGAATAGAGAGTTAGAAACATCGATAAGAGAGAATCATCAATCAGCTGCCTCTTGCACACCCCCTACTGGAGATGTCCCTACAACCAAGGTACATGCCCCTGACCGGAATCAAACCCGGGTTCCTTCAGTCCACAGGCTGACGCTCTATCCACTGAGCCAAACCAGTTTCGGCTGAGTCATCATTCTTTTTTCTTTTTTTTAAATATATTTTTATTGATTTTGTACAGAGAGAAAAGGAGAGAGATAGAGAGTTAGAAACATCGATGAGAGAGAGTCATCCATCAGCTGCCTCTTGCACCCCCCCTACTGGGGATGTGCCCGCAACCAAGGTACATGCCCTTGACCGGAATCGAACCCGGGACCCTTCAGTCCCCAAGCCGACGCTCTATCCATTGAGCCAAACCGGTCCCGGCCGAGTCATCATTCTTAATGTCTGTGTTGTATTCTATTGTTTGAATATATTATATTTAATCAATATGCTATTAATGATTTCTTTTTGTTATAGAAACCACACCAGTGAACATCTATAAAGAGAGCTGTCTTTGTATTATATAACTAGAGGCCCAGTGCACAAAATTCATGCACTAGAGGGGGGGGGTTGTCTCTCAGCCCAGCATGCATCCTCAATTTGGGACCCCTGGGGGATGTCGACTGCCTGTTTGAGCCCTGTGGGATGGGGCCTAAACTGGCAGTCAGACATCCCTCTCACAATCCGGACTGCAGGCTCCCTACTGCTCACCTGCCTGCCAGCCTCATCGATGCCTAACTGCTCACCTGCCGACCCAACTGGCCCCAACTGCCCTCCCCTGCTGACCATCTTGTGGTGGCCATATTTGACCACCTGGGGGCGGCCATTTTGTGTGAAGGCGTGAGGGTCACTTTGCATATTACCTCTTTATTATATAGGGTTGGTTATTTCCTTATGGTAAATTTCTGATAATAGACCTCATGGCTCAAAGACACACAGATTTAAGGCATAAGTTATTCTAATTTATATCTCCACCAATAGATATAAGAGAGTATTTTTCCTTGCACTTACTAAATGTGTTTCTATAACTTTAATATTATTTTACCGTTGTTTGGCCTTTTATTTTAAAGGGAGACTGTGGCTGACTAGCTGCTGTCAGGTTAGAAATCATTCCTGTCGTGCAAGTGAGGGGCTGGTTGGTTGCTGAGGGCTTTAGAAATGGTCTCTGTTGTGAAAATTCCTTCTTTTGTTCTTCCTTTTGCAGCGGCCCTTCTCAGCATTCCTGGCTTTGTCGAGCGGCTTTGTAAGCTGGCAACTCGAAAGGTGTCAGAGTCAACGGGCACAGCCAGCTTCCTTCAGGAGCTGGAGGAGTGGTACACATGGCTCGACAATGCTTTGGTGCTAGATGCTCTGATGCGAGTGGCTAATGAGGAATCAGAGCACAGTCCAGGTACTTGTGGTGGGTCTCCTGAGAGGTGGCTTCCTGGAGCCGTTCCTGGCCTTTTCCAGAGAGGGGAAATTGAAATTTGCTCAAAGTGGGATTTTTCCTTAGGGCATCCTGGAGCATGATTACTAAGATTCTTTTGCTAGTTAGTGACGAATCTCTCATATCTCCCTCTAAGGGGTCCGGTCTGGTTGGCGGGACTGTAACTTGGTTGCACAATCAGAGAGACTGTTTGGAGCCAATAACCAGAGCATTCTCAGGAACCCAAAAAGTTCTTGCTCTGTCTTCTTTTTCTTTCGTCTTCTCTCTTCTCTTTTCTGATGAGTAGGCTGCCTAGTAAATGTGTAAGTTCTAGTCTCAGCTCCAGCTATGTGGTGAAGGAGTCTGGCTCATTTCAGGCCATTTGCCCAACACTGAAGCATTTGACTGGCCAGCAGGATGGGGTCAGATTATACAAACCTAGTAATTCTCACTATAATCACGTGCAGATTAAATTGAAGGAAGGAAAGTCAGGGGTGTCAGTCTGCAGAACTCTGTGGATCTGCCTCCACAGTGAAACGATAAATGAAACAATTTTTTAAAAAGGCATTTAGATTAGGAAATAATAAAACTATGTAGATGACATGATCTTCTATATAGGAAGACCTAAAGAATTCACCAAAAAAACCGCTAAACTAATAAATGAGTTCAACAAAGTTATAAACTTAATTTTAAGATATGACCTCAATATACAGAAATTCTATTTCTCTACAGTAGCAGTTAATAAACTGAAGTTAAAACAATTTCATTGGAATTGAAATTGTTTTATAAAACAATTCCAATGAAATTGTTTTAACTTCAATTTATTAAATTGTTTTAATTATTAAATTGTTTTATAAAACAATTTCATATAAATATAAAAAAGAATATAGTGCTTAGAGATACATTTAATAAATGCAAAACTTATACTCTGACAATTTTAAAACATTATGGAAAGAAATTAAAGAAGACCTAAGTAAATGAAAAGACCTCTCAGGTCTTTGTTTCTGGATCAGAAGACTCAGTATTTTTAAGGTAGCAGTACTCCCCAACTTGATCTATAGATCTATCTGCAGATTTAACCCAGTTCCTATCAGAATTCCTGCTGGCTTCTCGCAGAAGTGGACTCGCTGGTCCTAAAATTCTGTGGAAAAGCAAAGGTCCCAAAAGCACCAAAACAGTCTTGGAAAAAAACAAAATCAGGAGATTCATACTTCATAATTTCAAAACTTAATTACAGAGCATCAGCAATCAACAGTGTGCTACCGACATAAACAGAGACATATCCTACCTAATAAAAGAATAATATGCAAATTAACCATCACTCTGCTACACCTACAAGGCACACCCACCAACCAATCAGGAGTGAGCATGCAAATTAACCCATCCAAGATGACTGCTGCCACAAGTGAGCAGATGGCTTGGGTTTCTCCAGCAATAGAAAAGGCCAAGCTTTCTGCACACGCTGGCTGGTTTAGATCTCCACTCAGGCTACAAAGTTTCAATTATAAAAGACAAATAAATCCCAACAAAAATGGCTGCAGCCACGGAGCTGGAGAGAGCAGGGGGCTTGGGTTTCTCCGGCAATGGAGGAAGCAAGCTTTCTGCACACCCTGGCGGGCCCAGGCCTCCACTCAAGGCTACAAAGTTTCAATTATAGAAGATAATTCCCAGATACCAGGGCCTCCACTTGGGTCTCTAGGGGGCATGCTGGCCTGCCAACCACACAGGCCCCGCCCAGGCCACTTCACTCCCCTGATCCAGGGTACCCTTCAGGGCAAACCAGCTGGCCCCCACCTGTGCACCAGGCCTCTATCCTATCTAATAAAAGAGCAATATGCAAACTGACCATCACTCCAACACACAAGATGGCTGCCCCCATGTGGACACAAGATGGCCAGCAGGGGAAGGCAGTTAGGAGGGACCAGGCCTGCAAAGGAGGGCAAATTTAAACTGCACTTAAGATACCACTTCATATCCATTAGGATGTTTATCATCAAAAAGACAGATAATAACAAGTGTTGGCAAGGAACTCTAGCCAGTTTGGCTCAGTGGAAAGTGTCGACCTGCAGACTGAAGGGTCCCGGGTTCGATTCCAGTCAAGGGCATATGCCCAGGTTGCAGGCTTGATCCCCACTAGGGGGTGTGCAGGAGGCAGCCAATCAGTGATTCTCTCATCATTGATGTTTCTCTCTCTTCTTTCCTTTCTGAAATCAATAAAAAATATATTAAACACACACACAAGTGTTGGTTGTAAGGATATGGAGAAATCAGAACTCTCACTCCCTGTTGGGACTTGTAAAAGAAGCAGTCTGGCAGTTCCTCAGAAGGTTAAACAAGAGTTATCATGTTACCCAGAAAGTTCATTTTTAGGTATATACTCAAGAGAAATGAAAACATGTTTATAAAAGAACTTACTCATAAATGTTCATAGCAACAGATTTATAATAGCCAAAACATGAATCTATCCAAGTGTCCAATCTATTAATTGCTGAATAGATAACAGAATATGATATATTCATATGATAGACTATTGTTCAGCAGTTTAAAAAATAAAATACTGATACTTGGTACAACCTAAATGAACCTTGAAAACGCTGTGCTAAGGGAAAGAAGCCAGCAAAGGAGCACATGTATGATTCCATTTATACGAAATGCCCTGAATAAGCAAATCCATGGAAACAGAAAGTAATTTAATGGATGCCTAGGGCTGAGGAGTTGCGAAATGCTGAGTGAGTGCTAATGAGTGTAAGATTTCTTTTGGGGGTAATGAAAATGCTCTAAAATTAATTGTATTGATGGCTGTACAACTCTGAATATACTAAAAACCACTGAATTGTACATTTTAAATGGGTGAATTGTATAGTATGAATTATTCGTCAGTCCTCTTTATTTATTTATTTATTTTTAAAATATATTTTATTGATTTTTTACAGAGAGGAAGGGAGAGAGAGATAAAGAGCTAGAAACAACATCAATGAGAGAGAAGAGAAACATCGACCAGCTGCCTCTTGCACACCTCCTACCGGGGATGTGCCCGGAACCAATGTACATGCCCCTGACCGGAATCGAACCTGGGACCTTTCAGTCCGTAGACCGATGCTCTACCACTGAGCCAAATCGGTTTCAGCTATTTATTTATTTTTTTAAAGACAGCATGACCCAGAGTGCGGTACCGACAAAGAGTGTGTTGGTCACTTTAATCAGTTTGGTGGAGCTTAAGAGATTAGAGGGAAGTCCAGGCCTCTTAGACTAGTTTCCCTCCCTCATCATTGGGACTTACCTTACTACTAAGCTCTGGCCATTACTTTGGAGACTCTGCTTCTTGAAAATACCTATCCTAGGGGTTCTTGCAAACCAAAGGCTGGCAGTGGCTTGGGAAGAACCTGAGCTTCTGGGTCTCTCTTTCCGTGGACGTTTGTCACTGAGAAGGACTTGTATGCCACGTGCTGCACCTGCTCCTTCTAGCGCCATCCTCTCCCAGTTGCCCGGATGCCCCGAGCGAGGTGCGAGGACGCCAAGGCTTCAGGCCACACAAGTGTCCAGCGATAGCTCTTCATTCTTTTCACAGATTAGTTGACTCCTAAATTGTCCCGGGAGATGGGTCACGGTATCCCAACATAGAAATTGAGTAATTATGGTTTTTCTTCCAACCTGTAGAAAAATATCTGAGAATAAAATAGAATTTTCTCAATTAGATTTTTTTCCAGTAAATTTTTCTTAAGTCTTTGCCCACTGTAACTTTAGTTGTCATTAAAAGCATTGCAGCTGGAATGGCTCTTTACCAAAAGGTTGCCGGTTCGATTCCTGAGTTGCAGGTTAAATCCCCAGGTGGGGACATGTGTGGCAGGCAAAGGACTGATGTTCCTCTCTCTCTTCCTCTCTCTCCCTCCATCCCCCAACTTCCTTCTTCTCTCTAAGTATGACTTTGGATGAAGATTTCAAAAAGAAGAGTTTGCAGATTAAAAAAAAAACAAAAAAACAAGTAACAAACATCAGAGTTTGTTTTTTCTTTCTCTAGTTAATGTATACGTTGCTTATGTGTGCGAGGCATTATTCTAAGCACTTCCAATATATTAAATCCTTTCATCTTTGCAACATTGGCAAGAGATAGGTACTATTGCCATTATCCCTGTTTTACAGATGAGGATGGATAGGGGAGCATAGTGACATCAACAAATTTACCCAAGGCCACCTAGCGAGTGAATGGCCCCAGAGTCTTCTTTTACAATCATCCTTCATTCAGCAACTGGGCTTCTTCAGAATCATAGTTTTATATTAGTGACATAATATGGCTGGAAAAAATAATTTCGGCCTACAGGGTAGAGTAGGTTAGGTTTTCATACCATGATATCAACATGCAGAAATCGCCGTGACTTCTGCATGCAGCTTGGCTGAATATATCTGATGTCCAACTACTGCTCTGCGCCATGTGTTTTTGAGTCCAATAGGAGCTTGAAAGGACCTTAGTCAGTAGTTACTAACTCACCTTTTCACATTTAAAATGAGGGCAACTGACAGGAAGTAACTCCTAAGGTCTCCTGACTCTGACCAGTGACCTTTGAAAATAACAGGGATCTAAGAGTGGGGCTTCCCAAGAATCAGGTGGTGGGCTTTTCTTGTGTTCCTATTCAGCCCTCAGTCACCCGGCCATCACTGGGGCAGTCCGGTTATTCCCAGTTCACAGAGCTGTCTGAGGCCTAGTGAGGAGGTGACTGGCCCAGCCAGCAAGCTGTAATCCCAGAGCACCACATTACCTGCCGCCTTCCACACACTGCGCTCCTCCGGCCTGCGTGACCCACGGAGACTTTTTGTTAATTGGGTCATAGAAAAAATTAGGCGGCTTACCTGAAGCCCAAAACACAGTGCCTGGCACATGTCAAATGATGACTATTACTTATTTGCTGCTGCTGTTACTAACAATGAAGTTGGATGATGATAATCTGCTAGTAGGTAATATGTGGATCTTTGTCACTAGCAGCAATTGTGAGGCCCAGACTGCCTTAGAAAGATGGACCTTAGGAAGTTTAGAAGGTTCTTTGAAAAAACGGGGTGGAAAAATCTTCAAAATGAATTCCTCCCAGCTCTTGGCAGTGCCCCTTGGTGGAATCTAGGTAGAGAGGAACCTACTACTAGGAGTCATATTTGACCCGAGGAGGGTATAACACAATTTGCTGCTCCACATCTGTCTGGGCACTGTTTGGGGGCGTGGGAGGTGGGGGCATTTGATGGTGACAGGAGAAAGGAATATGCGCGTCATGTTACTGCAGTGGCTGTGTCGGGACATTGTTCGTGTATGTCAGAGCTGATGAGCTAGAACTGCAGAGTCCAGTTTTCTAAGTCCCTAAGCTTGCCTGGCCTCTGGGGGTTTTGTGGCTTCCAAATTCTCTGTCAGGGCCTCAGGACCCAGTCTAATGGCTCTGTGACCTCAACTCTGTTCAGAAACATGTCTCCTCACAGGCAGTGACTCACCCCTGTCTCCTGGTGGCTGTCTCAGCCTCCATTGTGCTCTCTCCTCCAGGGGCTTCTGAGGAGAGCGGCCTGCCTCACTCTTCAGCTCGGACCCAGCTGCCGCAGTCCATGAAGATTATGCACGAGATCATGTACAAACTGGAAGTGCTCTATGTGCTCTGCGTGCTGCTGATGGGGCGTCAGCGGAACCAGGTGGGCCCTCCCGGCGCCTCAGCCAGGGCGTCGGAGCCAGTGCCTCCTGGGCGCTTGCGGAGTGCTGTGTGCTCCACGAGGCGCCCAGCCAGCATCAGGGTTGATTCCTTTCCTCTGAGGAAACCTGTCTGATTCCAGAGCTCACGTTCTCTCCTCTGTACTTTGCTGCGGGCAGCATTTCTAGGCAAAGCATTGGTGCCCTGCAGAACAGCTATGCTAGCTGACCTTACCATGAAGAACAAATGGTCGGTGACTGGCAGGATGACTGCTCTGTAGATGCACTGGTGGAGGTGCCAGCTCAGTGGGGGCTGGGGGTGATGGGCCAGAGCCCAGCACTGTGTAGGCAGCTTCCCGGGACTCCAGGTGTGCTGGGGTCCCCGCCTTAAGCAGTTCCAAAAGGGAGGAGCAGGGCCCATGCCCCACAACGGCAGAAAGAGGTTTTGGAAGTATGCAGCATCTTTAAGGCACAGAGGAGCCCTCTCCTGCTAGCTGCATTGTTCTCGGGGTGAAATTAGGCGCGGGGAGGGGTGCGTAAAGGGGAGTGGAGGCTGAGTGTCAGTGGTCCTTCCATACCTTTTGATTCAGACACCGGACCATCACACAGCTCTGTGTGAGACAGGTGCAATCATCCCTATTTCACATGTGAGGAACAGTTTTAGATGGTGTAGACAGGGGGAAAACTCAGTGAAGGGTGACACCTGGCATGGCAGCCAAGGCAGCCTGCCTGGCAGAGGGAGCAGGCCCCTGAGGCGGGAGCATGTCGGGGGTTGGGAGGCCAGTGGGAAGCGGGAGGCTGGGGGCACAGGTGTGGACTAGAAAAGCAATGAGGAGAGGAGGGCGGAGGGGTTGCATGGAGCCAGATTCTGTCAGGCTTCCATGGGCCCTGCTAAGGACTTGGGTGTTTTGCTCTGAGTGAAATGGGAAGTCCACACTGTGGCTGCCATGTAAAGAGATGACAGCTAGGATCTGCATATCGGTGGTGGAGGGATTGGCTGATAGTTTAGATGTAAGCGTAAGAGAGAAGAATTGATTATGACTTCCTTAACTCCTTCCAAGGTTTTTGGCCTAAGCAGGGGGGGAGGATGGATTTGCCATTTACTGAGATGGCTAAGGTGGGTGAGGGGTGGAAGGGCAGGCGTAAGGAAGAAGATGAGGAGTACAGTTTGAACAAGTTAGGTGTGAGGTGTCCATTAGAATCCGCACCTGGAGTTAGGGGAGAGGCCAGGACTAGAGGTATCACTTCGGGGGGGGGGGGGGGGTCATCAGCATATAGTTGGTATTTAAAAACCAGGATCTGATTGGGTGAGATCCCATTCTGACATCCACAGCATTAAGGCTCCTTCCTTCAATGTGGGATACTATCTACATTAATAAAAGAGAGACATACAAATTGACTGTAGCTCTGCTATGCCCACAAGCCATGCCCACCAGCCAATCAAGATGCAAATTAACCCAACTGAGATGGCAATGGCCATAGAGCTGTAGCAGCAGGAGACTTGGGTTGCCCCTGCAATGGAGGAAGCCAAGCTTCCTGGCCAGCCCTAGCCTCAGCACAAGGCTACAAAGTTTCCTTGAAGATAAATAAATCCCAGATACCTGCTTCCAGCTGGTCCTGGCCTCTGCTCAAGGAGGCACTGAAAAAAAAAGAAAGAAAAAAAGGAGGGGCTGGGAGCTTGGGGGTGAGGGGAGTGGTGACCAGGCCAGGATGGGACGGCAGTTGTGGGTGATCAGGCTGGTGGGGGGCAGGGTAAGTAGGGGGTGAGCAGGCCATCAGTGGGGGTCAGTTAGAGGTGATCAGGACAGCTGGTGGGGGGCGGTTTGGAGTGAGCAGGCCAGGAGGGGGGCAGTTGGGGATGAGAAAGCTGGCAGGGAGGACATTTGGTGGTGAGCAGGCCAGCAGGCAGAATGGTTAGGGGCAATCAAGCAGGCAGGCAGGTGAGCGGCTGGAGCCAGCAGTCCTAGATTGTAAGAGGGATGTCCAACTGCCAGTTTAGGCTCGATCCCTGTAAACTGGCAGTAGCACATCCTTCGAGGGGTCCTACATTAGAGAGGGTGCAGGCCAGGCTGAGAAACACCCCCCACACCATGCACGAATTTTTTTTTAAATCTTTATTGTTCATATTATTACAAATGTTCATTTTCCCCCCCTCCATTGCTCCCCTCCACCAGGTTCCCACCCCACCCTCTGCCCTTTCCCCACCCCGCATTGTCCTCATCCATAGGTGCACAGTTTATGTTCAGTCTCTTCCCGCACCCCTCACTCCCCTTTTCCCCGAGAATCGTCAGTTCACTCCCCTTCCATACCTCTGATTCTATTATATTCAACAGTTAATATTGTTCATCAGATTTTTTAATTCCCTTGGTTTTTAGATTCACTTGTTGATAGTTAGGTATTTGTTGTTCATAATTTTTATCTTTATTTTCTTCCTCTTCCTAAAGAATCCCCTTCAGCAATTCATATAATTCAGGTTTGGTGGTGATGAACTCCTTTAGCTTTTTTTTATTAGTGAAGCTCTTTATCTGGCCTTCGATTCTGAGTGATAGCTGGGTAGAGTATTTTTGGCTGTAGATTCTTGCCATTCATCACTTTGAATATTTCCTGCCATTTCCATCTGGCCTGCATGGTTTCTGTTGAGAAATCAGCTGACAATTGTATGGGTGTTCCTTTATAGGTAACTACCTGTTTTTCTCTTGCTGCTTTTAATATTCTCTCTCTGTCTTTTGCTCTTGGAATTTTAATTATGATGTGTCTTGGTGTGGTCCTCTTTGGATTCCTTTTGTTTGGGGTCCTGTGCGCTTCCTGGACTTGTAAGTCTAATTCTTTCACCAGGTGGGGGAAGTTTTCTGTCACTATTTCTTCCAGTATGTTTTCAGTGTCTTGCTCTCTCTCTTTTTCTGGGACCCCCATAATTCTGATGTTGGTTCGCTTGAAGTTGTCCCAGAGGTTTCTTACATTATCTTCAACTTTCTGGATTCTCTTGTCTTCTTGCTTCTGCGGAGGAGTGTCTTCTGGCTCTTTATGCTCCAAATCTTTGGCTTGATTCTTGCGATCTTCCATTCTGTTTTTAGGACTCTGTATAATATTTTTTATTTTAGACAGTGAATTCTTTATTTCTAGTTGATCCCTTATTATTTCTAATTGATCCCTTTTCATATCCTCATAGGTCTTGTTTATTTTATCGGCCTTTTCTAGGAAATTCTTGAAAAACCTTATGAGAGAGGGAGGGGGAGGGGGGAGAGAGAGAGAGAGGGAGAGTGAGAAGGAGAGGGGCTCAGTACACAATAATTCAATGCACCAGTGGGATCCAGCCTGACCCCAACCAATTGGGGAGGATTGGGGCTGGGCCTCTAGGGAGGAGGAGGCAGCGGGAGGTCGGCCCTGCAGGCCTGCCCTGATCAGGGCTGGGCTAGCTAGAGGGAGGGGCTTGGGTGATTGGCTGGCAGTCCCCACCCACCAAATGGGGTTGGGGGGTCAATCAGGGAACAGAGCTTCCTGGGGGGAAGGATGTGGGCCAATCAGGGTGGTGGGGGCTGATTGGAGGTGCGTCCAGCCTTGGGGAGGGTGCTGTGGGTGGTGGCCCAACCAGCCCTGCCTTCGAATGAATGGGGGCTGGCAATCCGGGACCAGTCAGGGGGAGGGGCCAAGGGAGGTTGCCAGCCAGCCCCACACCCTGATCCCCTGGCCTCAGTGGGAGACTGGGAACAAATCAGAAAGGTTGAGGCATTTGCTTAAGGTTACATGGTTTGTATGTGGTGGAGTTAAGAGACAAGCCCAGAGCTATCAGAACAAAAGAGTTCCTGTTGTACATTGCGACTCCTAGGATGTTGTGAGAATTAATGAGCAGGATAAGGCTGTTTTCTGTAAGCCACAACTCTCCCTACTACTCTTGCTTTCTTGTCCTGAAGGTTGTGATTGTACCAGCACAAGGCCTTGCTACATCTTTTTCTCGCATTAGGTTTAAAATGCTTTTGCCTTCCAACCCCATCCAGGTTCACAGGATGATCGCAGAGTTCAAGCTCATCCCGGGGCTTAATAACTTGTTTGACAAGCTGATTTGGAGGAAGCATTCAGCATCTGCCCTCGTCCTCCACGGCCACAACCAGAACTGCGACTGCAGCCCGGTAAGCACGTGACCCATCTCCACCTTTGAGAGTAGAGCAGGAATCTCAAGTCACAACCTGTTAATGCCATGACTGGGACCTCCCTCGGGGCGGGTCTGACTCCACCCCTCCGCCGGGCTCCCCTCTGTGTGCCTTGGGGAAGGCGGCCGCCCTCTACTTATCTAACAAGGTGTCCCTCCTCCTGTGCTCTGCTGCGCTGTAACTATATCCACTGACGACTTCGCCTTCTAGAACCACGCACCACCTGTGCTCTGCATCCAAAGGGCCTTTAGGACGCTTTCCTCTTGAGGGATTGAGCTCTCCACCTTGTCTCTGTCAGAGCTCCTAGAGAGAGCAGTGAACGGGAGCTGGGCGGCCTGCTGTGTGGTCACAGCTTGCTGGCTGAATCTCTGAGCCTCTGATTCTTGCAAAAGGAAGATCACCCTTCCTGCTTGCTGCCCTCACAGGCCACTTGGAGACTCAGCCGTCAGCCTGAGGAGCAGAGCGCCCTGGGATCTTAAAGGGCCACCAGCTGTCAGGGTCTAGTGCCACGGTTCCTCGTTGGTCTCTGTCAAAAATTACTTGATTTTTATTCAGATTATGTTAATATATTTATTGCATTTTATCTCTTTAATTATTTGTAACACATTTTTATGGTCTCTTCCAGTTTGTTCTTGGGACGCTAATACTTGTGTCTGAGTCCTCAGACTCAGCTTTGGGCAGTCGTGCCCGGGCTGTGTGTTTGGGGTGGGGCGGTTGTTTTCCCTCCTGGTACCTGCGGAGCCTGGGCCCTGGGGATGATTAACAAGCCCTTTGCTTTGTCTGCTGGGGGCTTCGGAGGCTGTTCTCCGGGGTTCTCCCTCACCAGCAGCAGCCTGGCAGAGAAATCCTTCTTTTGCCAAATATATACGCTTCCCAGGCTTTAAATGGGCCCACAGTTCTGTCTGGTCCCTGCAGGGCATTCAGACCCAAGCCCTGGCCTAGATGAGTCTCGTTTTCACATCTTCACCATTAGCGCTGTGCTCAGACTCTGAACTCGGTCCTTTATTTCTGAGTCCTGTGAATTTTCCTTTCTTATGAACTTAGCCTCATCTTCAAAAGAATTTCAGTTATTTTTTAATCCAGTATGTTGGGTGGTTTTTATTTTATTATTATTTTTTTTTCTTACTGATTTTTTTTTTGGGGGGGGGGGTGTTGTTTTTAACAAGAAGAGTCCACATTAGCTTAATCTGCTGTTGTCCAGGCATGGAAGACAACAAAGGTTTTCTAACTCAAGAAAAGTCCTCATTGTGCATGAGGACAGAGGCTCAGAGACGCAAAGCAGTGTGGCCAGGCTCTCCCCAGAGGGTGTGTTTTCTTTGGAGCCTTGTGACTGGTTTTAACATCCAGGTGCACATGTGTTTCAGGACATCACCTTGAAGATACAGTTTCTGAGGCTTCTCCAGAGTTTCAGCGACCACCACGAGTGAGTCCGAGCTGTCCCTGGAAGGAGAGTTGTTGCTCTGTCTCCTCTCCTTGCTTTGCCCCATCGCTGACCCCTGCTCAGGAGGAGGACCTGGGAGCCGTGACAGCCGCTGTCACCGTGTGGGGCTGCACTCCATGATGCGGTAGCCAGAGCTGCCATTTGTCCAGCCTTTAGGCCAGCACCGCACCGAGCTTTCCCCAGGGAGTGAGGACAGGAGTTGTTGGCCTCTTACTGCCCTTCTTTTGCTGGTAGAAGGTCTTGACTCCAATTTGTTTAAAAAAACGCAGCCTCTGTGAAGCACACTAAGATGAGGTATGCCTTTAAAATGATGAGTTTTGTATGGTAAGATATGTACATATATAATACCTTAATAAAAAAAATATGAAGCTATAAATAAATATTAAAACGATGAGTTCTGTTTGGACGAGCTGGGTGGGAGTGCCTTTAAGAAATCAGGCAGATCGTTCAGGGGCAAAAGAAAGGCCTGGAATGCTACGGGAAGAGAGCTTGTCAGGGGATGTGGCCAGCACAGGGGTGGGGGTGGGGCCAGGAGACTCCATACCCTGAGAGCCCATGTAGAGCAACAGCGCAGCCTGGCATGCCTGCTCAGGGGGTACAGGGCGCTGGGGATTCTCAGATTCTCCCTCTTCAAGAAAAGGGCGAGGGACTAGCCCAGTGCTGACCTGGCCGCCCCGCCCTGTCCTGAAGCTCCCTGCAACCCATCTGTTTCAGGAACAAGTACCTGCTGCTCAACAACCAGGAGCTGAATGAACTCAGTGCCATCTCTCTCAAAGCCAACATCCCCGAGGTGGAAGCCGTCCTCAACACCGACAGGTGAGCCTGGAGGGGGACGGCTCACAGCCATCCCGGCAGCGTGTGCTCTGGGGCACAGGTGGGTGCACGCAGCTATGCATACTCGTCCTTACGTGTAGCTGCAGTGTCCTGAAGGCTCCTGTGCGTAAGACATTGTTCTTATGTCACCTGCATTATATCATTGGAGCCCCACAACAGCCCGGGGGAGAAAGTGTCATCATCACCTCCACTTTACACATGGGGAGCAGGGTCTCAGAGAGGTCACCTGACAAAGGTCATGTATGCCCTGCCCCTCCCCTTGCTCTCACCTTTGTTGACATCCTCCTTGATTGCACGGTGGCATTTTCAGCCAAGCAGGACAAACAGAAGCAGCCCCCTCACCCTCAGCAAAGTCCCATCTGCTGGATTATGTTTGCTTCCTCATCTGGAACTGGGCAAGGAGGTCACAGGCTCATAGGCTCAGGGCAAAGGAGGACTATGTCCAGCAACACAAGTCATAATCCCCAGGTTTTTTGTTGTTGTTTTTGAGGGAACAGAACTCTGGTTCAAATGAAATCATACATAGCCTCACCCTGAGGTCTGTAGCGGATAAAGTAGAGCTTGTTTATTTAAGAGAACATATGAGAGCCCAGAATTCCTGCTGGGCTTCTCCTTTCTTCCCCATGAGGAGGCCTGAGTCATTTTAGCTCCTGCCTTTGTTTCCTGGACCTGGGAGCTGAGGCCCAGAGGCATGGGTACTTTTTCAGGGCTGGCTACAGCTGAACCGGGGGCCTGGGGTACTTCCTGCCTTACCCACCCCATCTGATAGATTCTCTCAAGGCCTGTTCACAGCCCACTGTTGGTGCGCACAGCCCTTCTTCCGGTAGCCTGAGCCGGGTCTGATTCTTGGATTGTTTCTGGCCTTTGATCACGTGCCTGTGAGTCTGAGGATGGAAAGTTGGCCGAGATAAGGTGTGAATGCACTTGGCTGTTCAGTTAAGACTGCAGGGGGCCATGGGATGCTCTGGACACAGGTAGAGCAAAAGGGAAACCTGGCAGCCTGGAATTGTCCCCAAATTTCTCCCCACCTGTTAGTGGAAAGACCAGTCCCAGTGCTCCTGTTAGCCTCTCAGATCTGCCACGAATGACCCTCTCTATGAATTCGTGCACCAGTGGGGTCCCTCGGCTTGGCCTGGGGGATCGGGCAGAAACAGGCTCTCCAGCATCCCCCGAGGGTCCTGGATTGCAAGAGGGTGCAGGCCAGGCCGAGGGACTCCACTGGTGCACGATCAGGGCTGGAGAGGGAGACGTGGGAGGTTGGCCAGCTGGGGAGGGACCGCAGGAGAGCTCCAGGGCCTGCCCGGCCTGTCTCACTCAGTCCCGATTTGCTGGACCCCAGCAGCAAGCTAACCTACCGATGGGAGCACTTGCCCCCTCATAGTTGGTGCACATCTAAGCAACTGGTTGACTGGTTGACTCTTTGACCCCTGCTGGTTAGTGCATGTCATAGCGAGCAGTTGAGCAGCCTTAACATATCATTAGCATATTATGCTCTGATTGGTGGAACAGCATATTAGGCTTTTATTATTTAAGATTTTTTTCAGTATAAAATGGTTATTTTCACACTTAATTTTGCATTTAAGTGTTTTAGCTGTTATATATTGGGTGTAGATTTTTTAAAATCATTCTTTAAATTTTTAATTAAAGTTGACATGTATTAGTGTACACCCCAGTGATTAGACATTATATAACTTAAGTGATTGTCCTGATATATCTTGTACTCATTTGACACCATACATAATTATTAGAATATTAATTGACTATGTTTATTATACTGTACTATTGTGTAACTATCAATTTTTACTTCTTAATTGTTTCACCTTTTTCAACCATTTCCCTAACTCCTTCCCCATCTGGCAACCATCAAATTATTCTCTATGTATGAGTCTGTTTCTTTATGCTTCTTTGTTTATTTTGTTTTTTAGATTCAGTTGTTGATAGATATGTATTTATAGCCATTTTATCTTTTTTTTTTCCTTCTTCTTCTTAAAGAAAACCCTTTTACATTTTATTTTATACTGGTTTGGTGGTGATGAACTCCTTTAACTTTTTCTTGTCTGGAAAGCTCTTTGTCCTTTTACTCTAAATAGTAACTTTGCTGAGTAGAATAATCTTGCTTTTCATTACTTTGAATATTTCTTACCATTCTTTCTGTCCTGCAAATTTTCTGTTGAGAAGTCAGCTGACAGTCTTATTATGGGAGCTCCCTTGTAAGTAACTGCTTTTCTCCTGCTGCTTTTAAGATTCTCTCTTTGTCCTTAACCTTTTGCATTTTAATTATGATGTGTCTTAGTGTGGGCCTTTTTGGATTCATCTTGTTTGAGATTCTGCACTTCCTGGAAATGTTTATTTCCTTCACCAAGTTAGGGAAATTTTCTTGCTCTCTCTCTCCTCTGCCTGGTACCCCCATGATGTGAATGTTGGTACACTTGAAGTTATCCTAGAGGCTCCTTGTACTATCTTCATATTTTTGGATTCTTTTTTTCTTCTTGCTGTTCTGATTGGGTATTTCCTGCTTCATTATATTTCAAATCACTGATTTGATTCTCTACTTCATCAACTCTATTGTTGATTCCCTATAAATTAATATTTCACTTTAGTTAGTGAATCCTTCATTTCTGACTGGTTCTTTTTATGGTTTCCATGTCCTTTTTTATGCTGTTGAAGTTGTCACTAAGTTAATTGAGCATCCTTATAACCAGTTTTTGAATTCTGCATCTAATAACATTACTTGTCTCTGTTTTGTTCAGTTCTTTTTCTAGAGTTTGGTTCTGTTCTTTCATTTAGGACATGTTTCTTTGTCTCCTCATTTTGGCACCTCCCTGTGAATTCGTGCACCAGTGTGTTGGTTTCTTTATATTAGCTAGAGCTGTTACATCTCCCAGGCTTGGTAGAGTGGCCTAATGTAGTGAGTGTTCTGTAGTGTCCAGTGGCACAGCCTTCCTGTTTACCTGAGCTGGGTATTCTATGTGCAACCCCTGTGTGGGCTGTGAACCCCTCCAGCTGAGCCTTTTGCTTGCTGTTAGCATGTCAAGGGAGAGATTTAGCTCCAGGCCAATAAGCTGCGAGGAATAGAGGATCAGCTGTGCAGGGGCCCACCCTACGGAGCAGGACTTACTTCAGCAGGGCTCTGGAGCCTGCCGAGTCCACTCCTTGAGTGTGTTGTTTGTGGAAATGGTTGGGTGGTGCTTAGACATGATCTTAAGCTGTTTATGGGGTGTGATAGCTTTTTACTGGGACCTCCTGACATGAGCTACAAAGCAATGTGCAGATGGCTGCTACTTGTGCTGGGCTTGGAGGTGCCCAGGAAAGGCCAGGCTGTGAACCAAGGCCAGCTGTGACTAGTGCTGGGCCTGGGGTCACTTAGGGAGTGGTATCGGGTACACCAAGGCCAGATGGTGCTTGTTTGAGAGATTTAGGAAAGTCTAAGACATAAGCCAAGACAGGCCATTTGAATGGAAAGGCCATTGGAAAGAACTTGGGTGGGCCTGAAAGTTGGGTGGGGCCTCAGTGAATCTCTAGGGGCGGGGGGTGTGAACAGTGTTAGCCAGGTTGATGGAGACTCAGATGTCTGCTGGCTCTGTGGAGAAAGGGCTCAGAAAAAGAACAGTGGCTTCTGCCAGGACTTCTGTCTGGGAGAAAGCCAACCCTCCAGCCTTTACCATGAACAATTCAAACCCTCCCCCTATGTCCCTGGTGCCCTTCAAGCTGCTATCCCAGCATTGGAGCTGAGAGGGAGTGAGTCTGAGTAAGTCTATGCATGGGCCCTTTAAGAGGAACTGCCTTGGACTCCAGCAGTCCCCTGTCTCACTGAGCCACAATCCTGACGGTTTTTTTACAGCTAGAAGTTGTGGGACTTCTCTTCCTGGCACTGAAACCCTGGGCTGGAGGGGCCTCCCTCCTCCAGGTACCTCTGCAGCCGAGATATCCCTCCCAATTTTTATCTGCTTCACGGGGGTGTCTCCACCCCTTCCACCAATCTCTGTGTGGCTGCATCTTCAAATTCCTAGTTGTAGGGCTTTCACTCGGCCAGATTTTAGGCAGTTCTGAATGACGGCTGCTCTATGGTTTAGGCAGTTCTGAATGATGGCTGCTCTATGGCTTAGGCAGTTCTGAATGATGGCTGCTCTATGGTTTAGGCAGTTCTGGATGATGGCTGCTCTATGGCTTAGGCAGTTCTGAATGACGGCTGCTCTGTGGTTTAGGCAGTTCTGAATGATGGCTGCTCTATGGTTTAGGCAGTTCTGGATGATGGCTGCTCTATGGCTTAGGCAGTTCTGGATGATGGCTGCTCTGTGGCTTAGGCAGTTCTGGATGACGGCTGCTCTGTGGCTTAGGCAGTTCTGGATGACGGCTGCTCTATGGCTTAGGCAGTTCTGGATGACGGCTGCTCTGTGGCTTAGGCAGTTCTGGATGATGGCTGCTCTGTGGCTTAGGCAGTTCTGGATGATGGCTGCTCTGTGGTTTAGGCAGTTCTGAATGACGGCTGCTCTGTGGCTTAGGCAGTTCTGAATGACGGCTGCTCTGTGGCTTAGGCAGTTCTGGATGATGGCTGCTCTATGGTTTAGGCAGTTCTGGATGACGGCTGCTCTATGGCTTAGTTGTGATTTTGATACAGTTGTGAAGAATGCCAGTACCATGTCTATTCTGCTTCCATCTTGGCTGGAAGCTCGAGTCTTTGTCTATTTTATTTCAGGAGTTTGGTGTGTGATGGGAAGAGGGGCTTATTAACTCGTCTGCTACAGGTCATGAAGAAGGAGCCGGCTGAGTCATCGTTCAGGTAGGTCTGGGGACAGGCGCCTGCCACTCATGAGGGGCTCAGGAGCCAAGTGGTTAGAAATACCTCCTGTAGGCACCAGCTTCCACGCCAACATCTGGTTACTGTGAGGGAAAGGGGGTTTGGTTGCCATTTCCCCTTGTAGCTTAGCAGGTTTGTGTTAACTTCTGCTGCATGCCAGCAGTGTATTTCAAGAATTGACCAAGCATTCACCAAGTACCTATTCTGTGCTGGGGCTGGAGAAGTGGAAAAGAAAGAGCAGATACAGTCCCTGCCCACATGGGTTCCCTGGCATGTGGGAAACAAGCATGAAAAAAAATCTTGTTTCAATGCGGTGTGGAAAGGCATGAAGCCAGGACCTGCCCCAGCAGCTGTGGGAACAAAGTAAAACCTTTTCCCCAACTGGGCTGGTGGGGGGCGTGGACAGGGAGCTGGGCATGGACAGGGAGGGCTTCTCAGCGTTCCTTAGACCCATCTGGAGTCCTGAAGGCTGTGACAGGAGCGGTGGGTGAGGGAGCCCTTCCGTCAGGGCTGGTGTGAGCTGTCAGGGAGCTCCATGCCCGAAGGTGCCCGTCTGTTCCGTCCGCTCAGCAGGGGTAAACTCAGTGGCCCGTTCGCACATGTCCATCAGGTTTCCTCACGCATCCCTGGTGCCTCTCTATCCCATGTCCTCCTGTCCTTCTGAACGGACAAAGGCTAGAGTGGCGTTTCCATGTTACTGGGACCAGCCCGCCTCTGAGACACAGACCCCTTCCCGACAGAACCCAGTAAAGACTGTTCCCCACCATGCCGTCAGCTCCATGCCTAGTGGAAGCCTGATGCCCGACAGGTGCTCTGTAAATGTGAATCCATGGAAAGTCAGCGTGCCCCTCCAGTGCCTCGGGGAATGGGGCGTGGGCCAGACAGGCGGCCTCAGCCCCTGGGCCAGGGCAAACATTTGGGTCGCAGGTTTTGGCAAGCCCGGGCTGTGGAGAGCTTCCTCCGTGGGACCACCTCCTATGCAGACCAGATGTTCCTGCTGAAGCGAGGCCTCCTGGAGGTAACGGCCTGGAGGAGCCAGGGCGTCGGGCGTCCCGTTCCCCCCCAGCCCCCTGCACTGCCTTCCTGTCCCGAGACCCAGAAAGCTGGGCAGGAGCAGCTGCATCTGTTTTAAAATGCCAGTGCAGATTGCCTTGGTGTGTGACCTGAGTCTCCAGCTGGGGGTTCCTGTTGGGTGCTTCCCGGACGATGGAAGGACTAGGGGTGGCGGCAGAGGAGCATAAGTATCTGTAGAGTCGTCCAGCAGAGCCTTTTGACCCTGAGGATACGTTGCTGCTAACTAAAAGTTTATTTCCCTTTATTGAAAAATGGCCTTCAGAAATAGCTTACAAAAGAGGGGGAGCAAAAGGACCAAAACTATAACTGTTTTTAAAAAATATCTATGAACTGACCTAGCAATTATTGTAAAACCCATATGGAAAATAATTGCTCCAAATCAGTGTGACTTCAGGAAAAAGAAAATGAAAAATAGAAACAAACTGTCTTAGAAAACCTTATCAAAGAGATAAGTTGGCTCTTTGTTCTTGATAAATTCATTTATTTTCGTGTACTAACCATAGGGTCAAAACGTGCCTCCTGTCCTTAAACCCTGCGCTTCATTTATTGGAGTGGCCTCAGGTGCTTGGGCAGTGGCCAATGTCACATCTGGAGACACCTCCCCTCGCTGGCAAGCCCTGGCCATCTTGGTGCCCAGAGAGCAGGTCACGGGCTTTAGTTCTGAGCCGTGGGCAAACCAGAGAGGCCATGGCCACGTACCCCAACCCACCCCTCTTCCCGTGAGGTGTCGGGCCTGGGCCTGCCCTTGGAGCCGCCAGCATCCTCAGATGAGCATCTGGACAGGGAAAGCAGGTTCCATTGACCTGGGTGCTTTCTCACAGCAGATGCTGTGTGGTCTGAGCTACATGCCAGGCCTGGCGGGAGCCGGTAGCTTAGAAGAGGGCAGCCAGGGGGCGGCAGCCACATCTGCCTGTTGGCCCGGGGCTCGGCTGCCTTCCTGCCTTCACTCTGCCATCTCCCACCCCCAGCACATCTTGTACTGCATTGTGGATAGCGAGTGCAAGTCAAGGGATGTGCTGCAGAGTTACTTTGACCTCCTGGGGGAGCTAATGAAGTTCAATGTTGATGCATTCAAGAGATTCAATAAGTACATCAACACCGATGCAAAGGTAAGACCAGCACAGGGCTCTGTGGGATTTGCTCTGTTGTTCAGAAGTTACCTGGGAGCCCTTGTCCTCACCAGTCCCTGGTCCTGGTTTTACATTTGAGACAGCTAGGGAGCAGGCATTCATTAGCATCTCTGTGCCGGGCGTTAGCGCGTCAGCCACTTGGAAGCAGGTGTGATGGTCGGAGCCAGGGGCTGTGAAAATGGCTCAGTGTGGTGAGTGCCATGATGAGCTCCAGACAGGTGGGCTGGGCCTGGTATGTTAGGCTCAGAGGGTGTGTCTGACAGAAACCCAGTTCAGACTAATGAAGTAAAAATGAGGAGTTTGGCATTCTGTCTTCAGTGGAGAAAACACTGGACGTGGTGTCAAAAGATCTGGGACAAACCCCCCTGGGGCAGGTCAGTCAGCTTCTCTGAGCCTCTGTCTGTTTACTGGCGACAGCTGGGCACTGACTCCATCACCGCAGGAGCCTGCCATCTCCGTCTGAGCCTTGTCTCCCCACTAAGTTCCAGGTGTTCCTGAAGCAGATCAACAGCTCGCTGGTGGACTCCAACATGCTGGTGCGCTGTGTCACTTTGTCACTGGACCGATTTGAAAATCAGGTGGACATGAAAGGTAAGAAAAGGCCAGAACGCCAGTGCAGATCCGTCCAGTGTGGCCTTGCTGGTGTCAGACACCCAGCTTTCATCAAGGAGACAGGAAAGGCTGGAAGAAGCCCCACCAAACTCGCATGTGGCTGGGGTCAAGGTGGTGGCGCTCCGGGTGGTTTTCTTTGTTGCTTTTACTTTCCTCTGTGGTTCATGCTTCCTTTACTGAGCGTGAACTACATATTAATAAGGCGAAAGACCGTTGTTGCCACCAGCATACACAAAACATTCTTCCTCTTCTGGGCTGCGATTGCCTGGGATGAGAAGGACCCAGGAGGTGATACCAGGGGAAGGCCTCAGGGAGAGGTGATCCCTGAGCACACTGAAGGGAGCGGTACTGAGCTCCCGTGTGGCCTCTGGTGAGATCACAGGCTTCCTGGGTGGCAGGAGAGCGGGAGAGCAGGAGATTTGTCTCTGTGGCAGTCAACCTTCCCGTTCGTTGTCTTGACAGTAGGGACTTGGCAGCTTCAGAGTCGGGTCCCGTAGGGCTTGACGAGTGGCTTAGGTGGCAGCCCTGGCCTGAGCCACAAACCCGCTTCCAAGCCTGCTGCTCACACCTCTGCCTCTCCGTCCCCAGTGGCCGAGGTCCTTTCCGAGTGCCGCCTGCTTGCCTACATATCCCAGGTGCCCACACAGATGTCCTTCCTCTTCCGCCTCATCAACATCATCCACGTGCAGACGCTGACGCAGGTGAGAGGCCCTGCAGGCATGCGATGCAGGAGGAGTCGGGGCCAGACAGAGGTGCCCTCTCCCACGTGGGAGTGCATCTCCCTGAGGCCACCTCTCAGTTCCTCCCAGTGATTCTGAGGATGTTTTTCCAATAAGGAATCTGCCCCATTTTACAGATGAGGCCTGAGGAGGGAGCAGATCTCTGAGATCACAGACGAGTTGGGGAGGAGTCAGCATAGACAACTCAGTTCCGACTCCCAGTTCAGTGCTCACCCCACCCCTCCTGCCGTGCAGGCTTTGGGCTTGGACCTGAAGTTAACTCCCGCCTCCCTCGGCTGTGCAGTCATCCATCTCTGGGCTTCATGCCCCTCTTCTCTTAAACGGGGTAATACTAATACCTCTCAGTGGATCTTCCATTCCTTCATCTGGGCTCAGGGTGCAGAGTGAACAAATCAGGCCTAGACTTTTCCCTCCTGGTGCTGTCTAGTGCCAAATGAAAGTTAGAAAAGGAAATGCTGCATCTAAGGTGTATGCCCAGCCTTCCCCAGGGATTGAAGCTTCCGGAAGGCCAGAACGCCAGTGCCTGAGCTGATTCAGGAGACCAGATAGACCCTAACTAGACAGGAGATGGATGGTGTTCCCTTCAGAGGGTGGGGGTGGGGGGCCAGGGGCCAGGAAGGTGCTCAGAGCAGGATGCTGGCATCACTCCTTGCCCCAGCCCTCCCTCAGGTTTATGCAGGGGCAGCTCAGTGTGTGGTCTCAGGGCTCTGCAGGGACTGCCTTGGGCCACCCCCTCCCCCGGCCAGTGGCGACCCAGGGCCACCGGGGGCTGCTGGGACCTTGCAGGAGAACGTCAGTTGCCTCAACACCAGCCTGGTGATCCTGATGCTGGCCCGGCGGAAAGAGCGGCTGCCCCTGTACCTGCGGCTGCTGCAGCGGATGGAGCACAGCAAGAAGTACCCCGGCTTCCTGCTCAACAACTTCCACAACCTGCTGCGCTTCTGGCAGCAGCACTACCTGCACAAGGACAAGGACAGCACCTGCCTGGAGAACGTGAGTGCCCACCCAGCTGGCTGGTGGGCGGGCTGCGGGCACGCGGACCAGGGCCCCTCGGAGGGCTGTTTGGGGCGTGTGGTCCCTGCCTGGGCCTTGAGGGCAGCTCTTTGTCCCCTTACCGTGGCCCTCCCCACGGGGTGCTGGGCTCGACCTGGGTCCTCCAGGCACCCCCCAACCCCGCTCTCTTCGCCCAGAGCTCCTGCATCAGCTTCTCATACTGGAAAGAGACGGTGTCCATCCTGTTGAACCCAGACCGCCAGTCGCCCTCTGCCCTCGTCAGCTACATCGAGGAGCCGTACATGGACATAGACAGAGACTTCGCTGAGGAGTGACCCTGGGCCAGGCAGTCCCGGGAGGCTGCTGGGCAGGGCCAGTGCGGTGAGCGTGGGCCTGAGCGCCGTACGCCTGCCGTGTCTCCACCCCTTCCCTGCCTTCCTGCCGCGCTCCGCCTGCCCCAGGTCTGCAGACACAGGCTGCGTGGGAGTGTCTAGAAGCCCTTAGGTCTGAGGGCCCAAGGTCACCGGGGAACCTTAGTACCTTCCAGATCCCCATGCTGAGGACAGGGGCGCTGTGCCCGCCCTTCCTTCAGAAACCTGGGGCCCTGGCCCCCGGAGATAAGGGGACTTTTAAAAATAGCTCTGTCTGAGCTCCTGCCTAGTCTCTTGGCCATCAGTCCTGGGTTGGGGAGGGAGATATGGGGACCCTCCCCCAATCTGTGAGCCAAGCTTGCCCTGGCCTTTGGACTCAGGCAAGGCTTCTGAGCCCTGGGCAGGGGTGGGGGAAACCACAGAACGCTACCGTCCCCCAAGCCTGCCCACCCGTCCTCCCTCCTTTTCCTTTAGCTCCTCTGGCTCTGTGTGCTCATCAGCCGCTGTGTTCGTCCCAAGGGGTGCCCCCAGAAGTGAGGGACCTTTCCCTTCCGTCCCTTGGGGCATGGGGTGGCTGTGTCCTGCCCCCTGATGCCCCAAGGCAGCATCTCCTACCTGAGCCCGGACACACAGGAGCCTGCCTGGGAGCACAGCCTTGGCCCCTCCTTGTGTTGCCAATTTATTAACAACGAATAAACCGATTAAATGGAGACTATTAAAGAACTTTATTTTAAATGACTGATGTGGACCTGACTTTTGTCTGTGGGACCATGTGCTCCCCCCCCCTCCCGAGTCCGGCTGGAGCTGTAGATGTGGCATTCACTCAGGGTTCAGCAGAGGGAGAGGCGAGGGTCAGGCAGCAGGCTTCACTCCTTGTGCTGAGGGGGAAAGGGTGGCCCAGTGAATTACGCCACCTGCCCCCCCCCCTTGCAAAGGCAGGGGGGTGCCCCAGGCTGCCCCTTACCTTAGGGCCCAGGGCATCCCGAGTCCGTGCCCGCAGCTTGTTGGCCTGGGTTTCTGCTATGTCTGCCCGCTCCTCCGCATCGTCCAGTTCATGCTGGGCCTTGCGGTACTTGGCCAGGTTAGTGTTTGCCTGTTGCTCCTGGGGGCACAGGCAGGCTGGGTCACCCTTCGGTAACCGAGATGGTCAGTCTGGTCCCACCTCATCGCAGAAAGCACCTGGCTTCTCTGGCTTCCACTGTGCTCCCACCACTACCCATGTTCCTCTGCCCCCCCCCCAGCACCCACAGCAGGAGGGAAGGGGTGGTGACACCTCTTCAGAGGTGCCCATGTGCCAGACCTGGGCCAGAAGGGGAAAGCACATGGGGTCTCCTCAGAGACAACGCTGGGTCTCACCTCTTGTTGGAGCTGTGAGATACACTCTTCCCGCTGGGATGCGGGGTCGCGAGCTAGGTCCCTGCCTGCCTCCGCACAGAGCCAACACCGGGAAGCCATGTCCCAGAGGTGGAGGGGGCTGACAGCTGCTGGCCTCTTGCCTGGGACCAGCTTTGAAGTTGGGTTCCACAGGCATCCTGACCTGGCAGTGCCCGGCCCCCGGGGTCCAGACCCCGTACACTCACCGCCTCCTCAAACTGCCGTTTGTAGCTCTTGACTTTGCTCTGCAGCTTTTCCACCAGGTCCTGCATGCGAGCCAGGTTCTTCCTGTCCTCCTCGGCCTGCACAGGTAGAGGGGACTCGGGTCTTGCCAGGACCAGGCCAGCTTTGGGGCCGTCCCTTTAGAGGTGGACCTGTCACCCACCTGGTACGCGAGCTCCTTGACCCGGCGCTCGTGTTTCCGCACCCCCTTGAGGGCCTCGGCATGCTGCTTCTGCTCGGCGTCGAGCTCCGCCTCCAGCTCCCGCACCTGTGAGCAGCAGGAGACGGTTCTGACGCCCTGAGCCTGCCCTCGCACTGCCCACCGTGCAGGGGAAGTGATGGGACCACCACACGCACCTTGGCCTCCAGCTTCTGCACCTGCTTCTTCCCACCGCGGAGGGCGGCTTGTTCTGCCTCCTCAAGCCGTGCCTGTAGCTCCCGCACCGTCTGCTCCAAGGTCTTCTTCATCCGTTCCAGGTGTGCGCTTGTGTCCTGCTCCTTCTTCAGCTCCTCGGCCATCATGGCCGCCTGTCCAGGGTGAGATGGACGGTCGGGGTGACTGGCCCCAGCGGAAGTCCCTTGGGGCTCTGTCCGCTCCCCAGCTCCCGCCCGGCCTCACGTCAGTGATGGCCTTTTTGGCCTTCTCCTCAGCTTCCCGCCTCTCCTGGGCGGCCTCCTCCACCTCGCCGCTCAGCTGGGCCAAGTCCACCTCCAGCTTCTTCTTCTGGTTCAAGAGGCCCGTGTTCTGGGGGGAAGCAGAGCCGCAGAGTCGGCCAGGAGGCAGCCACCCTGCGCGCCTCCCCTGCACCGGGAACGCTGCCCCACCTGTGAGTGCAGGAGGCTGAGGCGCTCGCTGGCCTCCAGCAGCTCCTGCTCCGCCAGCCGCCGGCTGCGCTCGGCCTGCTCCAGGGCGGCCTGCAGCGCCTCCAGCTCCGTAGCCAGCAGCGCCCCCCGTCGCTCCAGCGCCTGTGCCTGCTCCCGGAGCTCGGCTGCCAGCCGCTGCTCCTCGTCCCTCCCTGCCTGTTCCTCCTTGAGCTGGGCCTGGAGCAGCCGCGTGGCTGCCTGTGCCTCCGCGGCCTGGCGGGCGGCGTGGCCCAGCTGCAGCTCCAGGTCGTTGAGGTCGCCTTCCATCTTCTTCTTGAGCCGCAGCGCCTCGTTGCGGGCCCGGGTCTCGGCATCCAGGGAGGCCTGCAGGGACTCCACGGCCCGCTGGTGGTTGCGTCTGTGGGAGGGAGAAGACGGGGAGTGTCTTGGCCACTGAGAGCAGGCAGGCACAGCACCACAGCTGCTCTTACAAATGCCCGAGGAACGCTGGAGACTGCGCCCATTTTGGGAGTGACATCCCTCCCAGATTTCAAGCCCCGTGTGACTTCCTGTTCCCCGTCAGAGCAAGTTCACAGACGAGAGGGAGGCTCTGGAGCAGACAGATGTTGGCTGAACTCTGGCTCCACCCTGTGTCCCTTGAGCAAATCCTCTAGGCTCTCTGACGTTCACCCCCAGACTGGACAGTAATCCTGACCTGAGGAAGCTCTGTGCGGGGCACAAACTAGTGTCCCTGCCAATCAGTGCACAGCAGGGGCTCAGCAAACACTGCTTTCCTTCCTTTTCCCCACTCAGGTGGCTGGGCTGGGAGGGGCCCTTGGCCCTGAGGACAGGTGGACCCGGCGAGTGGTGGTGGGTAGGGATGGCCCTGGCCCCCATACCTCAGGTTAGTGCACTCCTCGTCCTTCTCTGCCAGCTTCCGGTCCACTTCCGCCTTGACCTGGGACAGCTCCAGCTGGATCCGCAGGGTCTTGGTCTCCTCCAGCTCCAGAGCCCCCTGGGGTGCAGAGTAGGCAGCGTGGGCCCCGGGGCCCCGAGTGTCTTAAAGGAGGAAGGAGGCCAGGGAAGCAATGGGTCCGTATCCACCCCACCCGTGTCAGCCTCTGACCTCCGCCTCCTCCAGTGCGGCCTGGAGCTCACTCTTCTCCCCTTCCAGTGCCTTCTTGGCTTTCTCCAGTTCCTGGATGCTCTTCCCGCTGAGGCTGGCGTGGTCTGTGAGCTCACTGATCTCCTCTGCGAAGTGGGCAGGGCGGAGGAGAAGGCTGGACGAGTCCTGAGGCCAGTGGCCACCTCAAAGCTCACGCTCCAGCCCAGGCTGCATCATTCACCCCCAGACCCCAGAGCGGTTCCCTGACCCCGGGCTGGGCCCTACCCTGCAGGTTCTGGTTCTCCCGCCTGGCGGTCTCCAGGGCCTGGAGCGCCTCCTCGTGGCTGTGCCGCAGCCGGAAGAGCTCGGCGCCCAGGCCGCGCGCCTCCCTCTGGGCCGCCTCCAGCTCCCGCTGGGTCTCCGCCTCCTGCCGCCGCCGCTCCTCCAGGGCCCGCTCCAGGTGCCGCTGCCTCTTGTCCAGGGCGGCAGCTGCTGAGGCTGCCCGCTCCAGTTCTAGGGTCGCATCCGCCGACTCCGTCTGCAGCCGCAGCTTGGCCTTCTCCAGTGACGAGCACTTGGCGTGTGCGGCCTCTACACCCTCCTCTGCCTCCTGCAGCCTCAGGGCCAGCTTCTTCCTAGGCCCCGGAGCGGACAGGGAAGGGACGGTGTAGCAGAGCGAGGCTGGTGGAAGCATGGCCCCCGCATCTCGCCTCTCCCCATCAGGGCTCAGGCACAGGCCACCCTGTGGCGATGGCCTGGCCAGCAAGGCACTCACTTGGCCTCCTCCAGCTCCTCGGTCCTCTGAATGGCATCTGCCTCGTACTTGCTCCTCCACTGGGCCACCTCGGCGTTGGCCTTGGACAGCAGCCGCTGCAGCCCGGCCTGGGCCTCGGCCTCCTCCTCGTGCTGCTCTCGCAGGAGGTCGCAGTCGTGCCGCAGCGCCTGCACGGCGTGGGCCAGCGCACTCTTGGCCTGCAGGGGCCCGGAGGCCTCGGTGTCAGGCCTGGCCAACGGCCCTGATGCCCACGCTGCCCTCTCTGCCAGCCAGTGGCCAAGCCCACCTTGCTCTCCTCCTCCAGCTGCCTCCGCAGTTCCTCCAGGCTCTGGGTGGCCGAGGCCTTCCCCCGGCTCAGCTGGCTGACCAGAGACTCCTTCTCCTCCAGCAGGCGGCTCAGCTCCCCTGCAGCCAAGGGGTGAGGCGGCACGTCAGGCTGGCAGGGGCAGCGCTGAGGCCCTGGCATGGCCCACCTGAGCCCCTGGCCTCACCGTTCTCCGTCTGCAGTCGTCCACGCTGGGTGCTCGTGTCCGCCAGCTGCCGTTGCAGCTCCTCCACCTTGATCTTGGCCTCACTCAGCTGATCCTCGTAGGTCCGACACAACTTCTCTGCACTGGCCTGAGGTCCAAGGTCAGAGGTCAGGACACGTTTGTGAATTAGAGGGCAGGATCTACGACTGCCAAT